GCGTTCGGGGTCAGTGGGAGAGTGAAGTAACAGGAGGAGGTGGTGAGAGCCGTAGAGGGGAGATGGAAGCAGTGAGGCGTGCGTGCGTGCGTGCGTGTTTTGTTTTAAATTGTGTCAGAGATTGCACTAAGCATGTGAGGTATCACCCTGAACGTCAGATTAACAGTACAGATTAAGGGCAGTAATTCTAGCACTAGACCAAATGTGTAAATCTGAAGTAGTAACTTCAAGTTTTTCAGGCATTGCCTATGAACATTAAAAATGTATGTAGTCTGTTGCTGTTGCACGGGCAAAAGTGTTTCATGTTTGGTATCTATTTACTCAGTGTAACATTGTCTTTTATATTTTATCACACAATTAGGCAATATATTGTGTTTTTGTGCATTAAAATTCAATTCATTTTTTTTCCTAAAAGAGTTGTGCAAATACTGTGTAGCATAAACAATTGCACCACCTACCATTTTATTCTTTAGGGCCTCTTCTTTAAAAAAATATAAAATGTTCAAGGTAATTTTCTAGCAAAAAGTTTTTTTCATGTGTTGGTCCTGAAATGCCAGGATAGTAGAAGCACCCCACAAATGACACCTTTTTGGAAAGTTGACACTCCAAGATATTTGCTAAGGGGCATGGTGAGTATTTTGCAGATCTCATTTGCTGCCACAAGTTTTTGGAAAATGAAAGAAATTAAAATGTAATTATTCTTTTCTTTGTTTTTTTTTTTTTTTTCTTTTTCAAAATCTGGTGACAAAAAATATCATCTGCAAAATACTCACCATGCCTCTTATCACATTCCTTGGGGTGTCTACTTTCAAAAAAGGGGTCATTTGGGGGTGTTTGTACTATTCTGGCATTTTAGGGCCTCTGAAACTGTGATGGGTAGTGAGGACGTGACATGAGGACATATGCCTGAAAGTAGTCATTGGATTTTGGGGGGCTGTACGCGGCTAGACTGACAAAAAGTCTCTCACATGTGGTATCCCCATACTCGGGAGAAGTAGCAGAATGTGTTTCTGGGTGTTATTCTACATATACCCATAGCATGTGTGAGCAAATATATAATTTTGTGACAACTTTGTGTAAAAAACGTAAAAAAAAAAATTTTTGTCAGTTTACAAAAACCCGTGGCAATCAATAAAATCTTCAATGTACTCAACATGCCTCCCAACAAATTCCTTCGGGGTGTCTACTTCCAAAAAGGGGTAGTTTGGGGTTTTTTTTGTACTTCCCTGGCATTTTTTATTGGGATTAGTAGAATACATTTTGGCCTAAATTTGAGTTTATTGGATATTTCTTATAACAAAGTAGAAAATATAATTTTTTTTCAAAACTTTTGGTCTTTTTTCATTTATATAGCAAAAAATAAAAACCCAGTGGCGATCCTATACCAGCAAAAGAAAGCTCTATTTGCGTGAAAAAAGGACAAACATTTTGTTTGGTACAGTGTTGCACGGCGGCGCAATAACCAGTTGAAATAGCGCAGTGCCGAATAAGAAAAAATGGCCTTGTCATGAAGGGGGATAAAACCTTCTGGAGCTGAAGTGGTTAAGTAGGATGGTGCACATAATTCTTCCAGTCCTCCTCTGGTTGAAAATCTGTAGCCCATTCCGCAGGCACTGAATCTCCATTTGGACCACATGGAAACAAGGCAGGTGTATATTTATGATATGAGGTGTCACAGTGGGGGTGGCAGAAGAGCACAATTTTTCAAATTCAGTAAAATATCTAGGAAAATTATGATGATAGGCTGGGTGGTTAATTGATGACCTTTTTATAGTTTTGGAAAAGTAATTTCTCATGATTTGTAGTAAAGTATCTCAGCCTTGAGGTTTTAGGCTAGGTTCATATTTGTGTGATGCAGGAACACTCGCAAAATTGTGGGTGTTCTTGCAGTGCCCACTAAAAGGTGCATTTTTTTTTTTTGCAGGTGCACGGAGGTGCCATTAATTGTTATTGATACCCCCAATGCACCTTGCTGAAGTGTGTGGGAAATTGATCTTGCAACAAAACACATGGTAGCAAATTACCATGCGTTTTCATGCAACATGATTTTAATAAAAAGGGTAAATCACTTCTTTGGTGTGTTTTAGGTGCATTATGCAGCATATTCAAAAGAACGGACTGCTCTACAGCAACTTGATACACACATGAAAAAATGTACTGCATCACACAGATATGAACCAAGCCTACCATTAGTTGTGGAAAATATTCACAAATTGCTCATGAATTACACTGGAGAAATGCAAATAGTGATGAACTGTAAAATATGTTAGTATCGCTATATCTTTTTAATATTGATATTGTTAGGTGTTATGCATTTTCCAGTGACTGTAAGTATACTGTATAAATACATACAATAAAAACAACTTATGCTGGTTGAAGACTGGTAGGGTACAGCAGCCATCCTATCATCAAAGTTCTTTCCGTAGTCATTTGGAAGATGCTTGCCAGTCATTACTGGCAGGAGAGATGTTCTAGGAAATCTGTATGATTGACAGCTGTGATGAACTATTGAAGCATAAAGCCAACTCTATTTTTAACATTATCCAGCACTATCGAGCTTGTTAACAGAGATCAGCAGCCTAGAAGTTAAAGACAATGAAAGCTTATCACCTTACATTATCCACATTTTACCATTAAACTCCCTCTTTTCATGTGCCATCAATATTTTTTACCTTGTTCTTATAGTGAGAAACCCTTTCATTACTCCCTGTGACATTACCACCAGGCTTGTAAAATACTTGCAGACACAGTGGCTGAGAACCAAATTCCTATTAACTCCCCCCCCCCCCCCCCCCCACAACTATATTTCCAAAGTGCCTTTTCTGTATGCACAGTTCATGAACAGGCTCTTGACAGTCACATTGTACGCATACTTTTTTTAGGAAAGAAATAAAATGTGCTCATGCATACATTGAGGCAGCACTGGTATTGCTGGCTGCTAAACAGTTTTCATTCAGCAGCCTCTCCATAACACTTCCTAAGAATGTAGACAAGGATGGGTTCTGCAGAGGGGGGCCTCTAAATCATACATACAGGGGTTGGACAAAAACACTGAAACACTCCATGATTTGCAGGTGTGAAAGTGATGACATTTTGTTTCCTTTTGAAAGCAGATGTGATGTAACATTTTTTTTTTGCTTTCTACTGTGTGATGAGACACCTAGCTAACAGGTGGGAAGCCTCACTTTCATCATTCACTGCGTACGCTGCTAGTAATACAGAGTCATGTCAGAGCTTACTTAGCTTCAAAGAGGGCAAATTGTTGGTGTCCGCTTAGCTGATGCCTCTGTGAGTGAAGTTGCCAATTTATTTGCGATGTCGCAGGCTACAGTATGATGGCTTATACAGTTTCTGGGTAAACGCCGTCTGATAAGTATAAGCACGGTCGACATGGTCAACTGACCAAAAGAGACAAAAGGACATTGTGTAGGATTGTGACCCAGAATAAGAAAACCACTGCTGCAAAAGTGACTGCAGATCTCAGTTTTGGTCTTCACGGGACTGAGATTGAGCTCTGCATAGCTAATGCGTAGAATATTGAAGTGAACCAGTGTGCTTATTGTAACATTCTAAGGCAACCACAGGTCAATAGAGCAGACACCTTCATGTGTCTGTTCTCATCCTCCTTGTCTTCAAGTTCCTGTTATCACCAAAGTTTCCATGCCCTGGTATTCAGTCATCATTGCAGCAACCATGTTGATCCTTGGCCCTCTCCTGTCTCCATTCCATTCTGTTGGACTTCCACAAAGATTGATTTACTGGCCTGGAAGGGCCTACTTTTAAGACATGAGTTCCCCCCCCCCCCCCTTTCCCAATCCCAAATAATCAGAGCCAACATGTCCACTGCATAGACTGTCTTGCAGAAGGTCACAATTCTTGTAGGCTGAGTTTATGATAATTGTTTTTATGTAAAAGAAAAAGAAAAATTGTATTTTTTTTTTCTGTTACCTCTTCCTTGTTCCATTCATCTAATTTGATAAGGCATACCTGATTTTGAGGTCTTTCTTCATTCTTTTCTGCAAGATTGCTATTTGGTTCACACCAATCTTTTTGTAACTGTGACTGCAGTTCCTAAAACGTAAAAGGTTGCATTTTTGTTTCTGCCGATTCACACTGAAATGAAAGAGTTTGTAAAATAAATGAGAAATTATAGGGTAAATGTATTCTTTTGGCTTGCCACGTTTGTAGTAATTGCTTACAAAAGAGCTTACAAAAGAAATGGATCCCACAAACTTCAGGCTTTTCTCTTAGGGAGAGATAACTATAACTGGAGCGTACAAAGTCTGATGAAGCTCTGCATAAAACCAATCGGCTTCCAGGTTTTATTGTCAAAACTCAATTGAACAAGCTGAAGTTAGAAGCTGATTGGCTACCATGCATAGCTGTACCAGAATCTGACTGTGCCAGTTTTAGTAAATCTCTTCCTTAACTTTGTCATTTCTGTTGGGGGCATGTTGGTACAGCTTTATAGTGGTGATGATTTGGTGCATTTATACATACATAATGTTACCAACATGTTCATTGCATGCCATGCTAGTATTACCACTGCTAGCATTGGCCTAATAGTGTTTATCACTTGTGTTCATCAGCCCCTATGAATTTTTCAGTTGTGATAAGTGTACAACTTGTACGGTAAAATTTTTTGGTTTTTAAAGTAGCTCAGGACTTTTCTAAAACCGTATGCATTAAAAAAAAATAAAAAATTGCAGACATTAATTGTAAAGTCACTGCCTATGTCTGAATGTCACAAGCTAATGAAGGTTGGAAATATATTGTATATTGAGTTGCCAAATATTTTACCTTTTGTTTTCTATATAGATGGTAAATCTATAGAGAATTAATTCATACCAGCTGCCAATTTCTCTTAGTACAATTTTCTTTAGAGGAATGTTAAACAATTAGAGATTGAATAGTTTTTACAGTTGGTGCTCCCTTTGGTCTGTCAAATCTGAAAAGGAGCAGAAGTCTGGACGTTAACCACCTCCCTTCCGGCTGTTGTATATAAATGGCCTGATGGTGGCAGTGCAGGGTCGGGTGGCCGTTTATAAAACGGCCTCCCTGCACCCTGCTTGTGCGCGCTCCCTGGGACACAGTGGAACACCGATCGTCAGACGGGACTTTCGTACGAGGTCCCGATCATGTGATCGCTGATTGGCCAATCAGTGATCACATGCAAAGTAGTAAGCTTACTACGTGTGAAATCTGTGAATGATCACAGAGGTCACATGGTACAAGGCTATTCACAACAGCCTTGTACCATGTGATAAGCTGTGACCAATCACAGCTCACTCAGTAGTTCTCAATGGCTGCAAGAATACAGCTAGAGAAAAGGAGAAATGATTGCTTTTACATCCTTTATGGGTGTAAAAGCAATCAGTGTAAAAAAGAAAAAAAACTTCATCACCCCCCACAAGTAGTACAGTGTCACCATGGTGACACTGTACTGCTAGGGTGACATTATGTAAAAAATAAAAAAAAAAAGTAAAAAAAAATGTTTTTAAAAATTATAATTTTGGTTACAAACTAATTTTTTTTTTTTTACTAAAAATATAATGGAATAAATTTTGGCCAAGATTTATGATGAAATACTATTTATTTGCAAAATGTTATAAGAAAAACACTTTTTTTTTCAACATTTTTGGACTTTTTTACATAGCAAAAATAAAAATCCCAGTGGTGAATAAATACCACCAAAATAAAGCTTTATCTGTCTCAAAAAAATGCAAAAAAATTAATATGGGTACAGTGTTGCATGACCCGCGCAATTGTCATTCAAAGTGTGATAGCACTGAAAGCTGAAAATTGGCCTGGACAGGAAGGGGGTAAAAGTGTCCGGACTGGAAGTGGTTAAAAAAGCAGTGCTACTGGAATGTATCCTGGAAGGGTTCTGATGTGGAGCATTCCTTTTTAAGTAGCACTTACAATTACAATCTGATAGACTTTCATTGTTCAGATCACATGAGCTTCTAATGTGATACTTTGAAGCTGCATAGTGTTGTCAACACTAGCATTAAGCAATTGAGGCATGGCATAAATTTGTGGGAGGGTATGATAGGATGTATTTATATTTAAAATGTTAATGATATTGTAGTAGTGATCTTCTGTGCTAGGTCTCGCTCTTTTAAATTGTAAGCTCTAACAAGCAGGGCTTTCTGATTCCTCTTGTATTGTATTGTAAATGTAATGTCTCAATTCTGTAAAGAGCTGTGGAAACTGTTGGAGCTATATAATTCCTGCATAATGATATAATAATTGGATTTTTAAGGATAATCAAGGGCCTGTTCATATTGTTGTGGTGCAGCAATGTGCGGTGTTGCGATGCAGCTCTGTTCATTTTGACCACAGTTGTCCATTCCCAGCTCAAAGGCAAATCTAAATGGATGCTTATTCCTGGAGCCTGGAGAGTGACGCTGTGTATTACCTGTCTTGCTGAGGTTTTCCAGATGATCCCCTGAGTTACCTTTCCAGATCCAGATGACCAGGAGTGGTCTGATTTACTCAAATGCTGTTCCGCTTTCTGGTTAGTGCAATATACATTCATTCACAGCCACTGGAAACACAGAAATTCACCTGATGATATATTACTGAACTTGGAATCATCATATTACCTTTGTATCACTTGTGCACTTTAACCGTCAATACCAAGATGTTATTCACATTATTGGTTATAGCGCTCCACAGCGCATATTATTGTTACTATACCATACATACAGTTTACTAGATCGATTTATCCATATTCTATACTGCGCTGCATTTTTATATTTATTAACCAATAATGTCTGATCCACTTTTCCCTTGTTTGCATCAGAATGTGGTGTGGGAAATCCTTGTTACATACGCATTTCCTGCACTTTGTTCAAAATACACTGGGTGTACGATCTGCAGGTGTCAATATATTCCTAATGACAACCCAAACGCAGTGAGTTTGCCTGCACAGAATTGCATGGTTCTACAGTACCATTTGATTTGGTGCAGTGTGTTTTGAAAGTAGTGCACGCGTTAATTTTTGTATGATCCAGTGTGATTTTATCCCATTCATATGATTGGGCTGAAAATCGCACCACATAGAGTCCCTGTTCTTGTTTCAGGTGTGAACTGGCTCTTAATGCATTTTTTTTCTTTGGCCTCTGGCACTTCTAGGAGTGTCAGAGGCTAACTGAAGCACCAGCATGTACCATTGTATAAAAATAGACTTGCCAGCATTTCCTGTCCTTTCTTTCCCTGTTTTCATTCCATAAATCTTGGAGAAAATCACGGAAAAAGCCTTGGAGATCATAATTGCCCCCATATGATTAAAAAGGATATCGCTTCAGCGTGCTAGATTGGAGAGATATATGCATGTTCTGCAGTTGTTCCTTATTGATTAAAGTTACAGGCCTATCACTACATCCACATTTGTGTTTGCAATCAATCAAGCATTCATAAAATTGTTTTCCTTTTATGCACACCCCAAGGTATTAACCAGATAGACTGAGCGACCTTATGCCTAGTACACAAGGAGAAAATCGGACGAATAATCGTCCGTGTTTTTTGTTTTGTTTTTGTTTTTTTTGTTTTCTTTTTTTTTCTGCATGCTAGTCTCATATCGAAAACGAATAGGTTACTAGAGTTACGAAAATTCTCGTAAGACAGAATATAACTCCTGCAATGATATATTGTGGTGTATTCTTTCATTTCCAAGCATGCATGGTCTTGGTCACCCATTTTTTATGGACGGATACTGTACGGATTTAAAAAAAAAAAATAAAACTTTGTTGTGGTATTATTGTATGAGAAAAAATAACATGCTTGTCCCTTCGGATAATTTTGCATGAACTCTTGTGATTGGCTCTGACCACTGACATTACTTAACAAAGAACTAAAGTACAAAATACATTTCAAACAGGCAGGGTTTTTGCACTGTCTGTTCTGCGATAAAATACTTACCTGCCTGTTCACAATCCCCTTATTACCATACACTGGGCAGCTCAGTTTACATCCTGGCATACTGCCTGTGTGCCAGGGTGACTGCATTCCTGCACATGCACGGGGGGGGTGACATCATCCTGTGCCAGTCAATAATCACAGCCAAAGACTGGCACCCTGTTAAATCTGGAGAGAAGTTGCCAGCGTCTGGCGTCAGACTATTAGAACAGAGGTTAATATTTTTGTCTTTAGTTCCACTTTAAACAATTGCTATCTATAAAGATTCACTTAGTGAGTAGGCTGATCTACCTCATTTACTTACCTGCTGATCTGGCAGCTACCTCATTTACATACCTGCTGGGTGCCATTGTTCCCATTTCTGCCAATTTTCTTTGCAGAAGGGGATAACACTGTGGGACTGAGCCCTGATGTCTTCCACTGGGTGGAGTGTCACATGCTCCTTACTCTTACCCGCCATACAGCATCATGGAAGCAGCTCCCCACTGCTGCTCTTGCTTGCAAAGAGCTTGAAAAATTTTAGTCCTCTGTTCCTGCTGCCAGGCCATCCAGCCCTCACCTGCTACTAACTGTGTGGGTATTGTGAGTACTTGCTTGAGGTTATAGGTTTCCTTACTACCCTGCAGTTGTACCATATCTGATTGTGAGGAAGGGGCACAGTCCCGCTGTACTAGGCACCCTTCGTCGCAGTCTACAAACTGCTCCAGTGTGCTTACTGATGGTGTTTGACTCATTTTTCACTGAGAACCAGTTTGTTCCTGGCCTGGTGGCTCAGAAATCTGACTCTGGACTTGAAGTAATTTTTTTTCCTGTGCTTCAGAAGATCCTCAGGATGACTTTCTTCTACTTTTTCAGCCACATGATGGGGTTTCTTTTATTCATCAGCTCTATGAAATGAGTGAACTGGTGGCCTTCAAAGTGAAGAGTTTCTTACCAGCACACTTTGGATCTCCAGAACGGGTCTAAAGCAACCACATCATAAATACAATCGTGATGTTTTGGAGCCACTCAAGATTGTTTCCTCAGGCATATGATATTGGTGCAGGCATTGTCCATACTTGGCCTTAGCCGGTCATGTATTGGTAGCTGTTGAGCAGCAAGATAATATAAGTGGAAATTAATGCCAATCTCACCTGTCTGGTTGGCATTTGGAGTATAGTAAGTGAGATTCTGGGGTCTTGTAGTTCTATATGAATGATGAACATATGGCATTTTATTTGTGTTTAAAGAATTTTTTTTAAGCAATATCACAAGGTAATTTCGCTAATATACAAAGGAATTTAGGAAGAAGTGCATTTTTATAAGACTAACCCTACCCATGAGATATAGAAGCAGGATATCCAAAATTTTGGTTCATTATGGAGTGTTTCAATAAGGGGTAAGAAATTAGTATCCAAATAATGTGAAATAGGAGTCTTAATTATATGACAGATATTTTTATTTCTGCACTATTTTAATTTGGGATGCAGGATCTATTCTGGATATAGTGTCAGTGTCCAATAGTGATTTCTCCCAGTTACCCTTGAAGCCTGAGAAACCTTTATATTCTCTGAGGTCCAATAGATGAAAAAACAGATTGGTTGGCATTCTAGATAAATGAATGTATCCTCGGTATAGAGAGAGAGATTTTTTTCCAATTAATTTTAGGACTTTTAACAGGTGAGGAATTTCTTAGTGTAAGGCAAGTGGCTCCAAAGCTACAGCAAATCGTATAGGCCAGAGGGGGCAATTTTGCCCAGTACCTCAAAAGATCATAAAGGGTGCAAAGAGGTATTAAGCTGGATTCTCACCTAGGGGGCTGTATATATTTCACTTGTTTTAAGAAATTGGGTCCAAACCAAGGAGATAATTGCCCTACCTTCTGCATGTGTGAACCGTATGTATCTGGGACTGGATGGATAGAAATACAGATCGTTTGCTAGGTAAAACAACTCCATGTATGTATTTTACCTTTTTGCATTTGAGATCTACCTTGAGTTCAGCTTTCACTGTGTCTAGGTCACTATCAATCATCCAAAAAAATGGAAGGCTTCATTCCTTTTATCTGCTGTCAAAAGGTTTTCCATATAATAGTAAGAATTTAAAAATAAGGAAGACAAGTGAATGGGGCTTCCATTGTGACGATCGCGGCGTCAGACCCCAGCCCTTCTCACCAAACTCGTGACCGAAGGACTAGCCAATCTAAAACTGCGCTGTCATGTGCGTAACAATGCCACGCCCAGCTGCACTCTGCACAAAGATTTTCCAGCTAATGGACCACAATCTGTGTATCTGCAACCTGGAAGCGATTGTTACTGGGTCAGGTTAATTATGCAATTAACCCTTCACACTGCCACCACCTCCTTTTTGTACAAAGAAAGCGGAAACTCGGCAATATCAGCAATAACACTATGATGTTTGTATAAGCGTCGGTATACCACTGTCACCGCAGGCAGAGATATACCGAAGTTAAAAACACACAACACACACACACACACAATAGCGCTCTCAGAGGCAGGGGTTCTCAGTTTGCATTAAAGAGCTTTAGAAACCGTTCAACACTTTCAGAAAGTAAGATTCATTACTAAAAGGTCAAAAGGGTGCAATAAAAATATTTACAGAAAAAGATGTAGCATATATATATATATATATATATATATATATATATATATATGCACACAGAGAGCAATAACACAGCAAAGAGATAACAGAAAGAAGCTTAGGAGGGAGAGTACTTGCCGTCAGCCTGGGTTAAGCAGATCAAGTTTCAGAGCCAAAGGGCCATCTCCCAAGTTGGTTCCGATGTTAAAAGGGAGAATTCTTAAACTTAGCTCAACTCAGCTTAGTTTAGCTTTTTCTAGGAACACAGCAGGGTGTCTCCCTGAGGCTGAGAATCAATTGCCTCATTTGGGCGGGTGTTGCAGGCGGAGACCCAAGCTATGACCAAAAACCCTCGCAGTTGATGTCATGGTTCATAACTTACCCTGGATACATATAACATTCTATCCACGAGTAGAATAATGCGCAGAATCTTCTGCTGAACGTTTACTTATGAAATATGACATAAGGAGATATCATTCTCTGCTTTCCTGTATATGTCAGATAGGGGGTGTAATATATCAGACGACTTGTATTAATGAGACCAATCTGAATATATGCCCAGTTTTTTATGTACGTCTGTTATATTCCAAGATATGTAATCATAGGGGAAAGTGAGTCCTGAATGTGATGTCTGCTTTATTGCTTATCTGGAATGTCTTTGAGGCTCAGCGAGGGACTTGGTTTATGGCTTTACGATCCCTTTCCAAGCAAGAGTATCGCTGACATATGAGTACCAGCTAATTGAGGTTTACATGTCACTCAACAGAGAGGGAGGGGGGATATCGGAGGAATCTGATTTGGGAGGAGAGAGAGATGTAAGATGGAGAGGTTTGGAGCAAAATGGATGACCGCGTCCATATCTGTGTGCATGATTGCTACATCCATCATTAAAGCAAACTATAGCACATTCAATAGTATGCACATAACACACACACACACACACTTTAATTTGTGCTGCAGTGTTTTTTTTCTTTTTTCTTTTTTTTTTTTTTTTTAATACATGGTCCATTTTTTTTTAAAACTCTTTTTTGGACTTTTATGCTGTTACTATGCGCCGCAGTAACCGCACACTTCAACACAGTGCATTGAAGTGAAATGAACCAATGGGAAATAAGGCTATTTGTTGTGTCCATGTGTTGGAACTGTACTGGGCAGCTCGGGGCTTCTGGTGAGAATGAGCCCACAGTGTTGTATGTTCATTTAATTATTAATTATAATACATTAAAATTATATGTATATATTTATATATACAAACACTGGGCAGAAAAAAAATTAAACAAACAATTTGAAAACACATCAGATCAGAAAAATATCATGCTGGGTATCTATACTGATATGGACTGTATAATGTGTTAGTAACGCAAGGATGCCCCATCGTTTGATGGGAATGAAAATTATCAACCTACAGAGGACTGAATTCAAAGACACCCCGAAAATCAAAGTGAAAAAATTATGTAGCAGTCTAGTCCATTTTGCTGAAATTTTATTGCAGCAACTCAAAATGGTACTCAGTAGTTTGTATGGCCCCCATGTGCGTGTATGAATGCCTTAGAATGTCGGGGCATGCTCCTAATGAGATGACGGATGGTGTCCTGGGGTATTTCCTCCCAGATCTAGACCAGGGCATCACTGAGCTCCTGGACAGTTTGAGGTGCAACCTGGCGGTGTCGAATGGACCAAAACATGATATCCCAGAAGTGTTCTATTGGATTTAGGCCAGGTGAGCATGGGAGCTATTCAATGGTGTCAATTTCTTAATCCTCCAGGAACTGCCTGCATACTCTCACCACATGAGGCCGGGCATTGTCGTGCACCAGGAGGAACCCAGGACCCACAGCACCAGCGTAGGGTCTGACAATGGGTCCAAGGATTTTATCCCGATACCTAATGGCAGTCAGAGTGCCATTGTCTATCCTGTAGAGCTCTGTCTGTCTCTCCATGGATTTGTCTCCCGAGACCATTACTGACCCACCACCAAAATGGTCACTCTGAACATTGTTACAGGAAGCATAACATTCTCCACAGCTTCTCCAGACCCTTTCACGTCTGTCACATGTGCTCAAGGTGAACCTGCTCTCATCTGTGAAAAGCACATTGCGCCAGTGACGGACCTGCCAATTCTGGTGTTCAGTGGCAAATGCCAATCAAGCTCTACAGTGTCAGGAAGTGAGCACAGGGCCCATTGGAGGACGTCGAGCCCTCAGGCTACCCTCATGAAGTCTGTTTCTGATTGTTTGGTCTGTTTCTGATTGTTTGGTCAACATTCACACCAGTAGCCTGCTGGAGGTCATTTTGTAGGGCTCTGGCAGTGCTCATCCTGTTCATCCTTGCACAAAGGATACCAGTCCTGCTGATGGGTTAAGGACATTCTCCAGCCCTGTCCAGCTCTCTTAGAGTAACTGCCTGTCTCCTGTAATCTCCTCCATGCTCTTGATACTGTGCTGGGAGACACAGCAATCCTTCTGGCAATGGCACATATTGATCTGCAATCCTGGAGGAGTTGGACTGCCTGTGCAACCTCTGTAGGGTCCAGGTATCGCCTCATGCTACCAGTAGTGACACTGACCCTAGCCAATTTAAAAACTAATGAAAAAATAGTCAGAAAAGATGAGCAGGGAAAAAAATGTCAGTGGCCTCCACCTGTAAAATCATTCCTGTTTTGGGGGTGGTCTCATTGTTGCCCATCTAGTGCACCTGTTGTTAATCAGTTTCTGCTGCTTTTGTGTTAATGAAATTAACATCCCCCTCTGCTACTTAACTGACCAGATCCATATCCCAGGAATTTAATTGACTTGATGCTATACTCTGATTAAAAAGTGTTCCTTTAAATTTTTTTGAGGTGTGTGTATATAATATTTTTAATTATTTTTTTTTTTTTGTGCAGCATGTCTGAGGCAACGTTTTTTTTGATTTGTGTTCTCTAGAATGTAATTTAATAGAGGGTGAAGATCATGTTGAGGTAAATGGGGAAATTTTCCAGAAACCCTTTGTGGAAAAGCCAGTGAGTGCTGAGGACCATAATGTTTACATCTACTACCCAACATCTGCTGGAGGTGGGAGCCAAAGACTGTTCCGAAAGGTAAGCTGCCTAACTCTGCCTCAATATGTGTTAATGTAATTGTGCATCCAGTAAAGCTTTACCCTATACTCCCCATCAAAGGGTTAATTTTCCTCCTAACACTTTCTTTCCTAGTCTGTTGGGTTTAGGAGAAATAATTTACTCACTTGCCCAGCAACTTCATTCCTTCATTGAGGCATTTTCTCGGCGGTGGTTTCATCTGGTTCCTAACAACCACCCTAGAAAGGCAGAAGTGTAGCATGCGCTCTGCTAGAAAACTATCGTGATTTACTGAAGAAGACTTGTAAATAGAAGTGAAGGTCTGCTTTAAATCGCTGCCAAGCTATATGGCAGGTGCCTTAAGCTGCCTGCTGTTATGCTGGAAATGGTCCCCTGCTGTTCATTGGATAAAAAAAAAAAAAAAAATCAAGCACTTACTGTATGGGGAGACACGCCTACTGTCATATGGGGAGGGGGGGGGTGCTAGGTAAAAACTTGCATTGGAGTGTTGGAGTGTTTGCCCAGCCAGTAGATGGGGCCGGTGATAAATGCTGAGAAGTTAAGAGTGTGCTCCTTACAGTTCTGATACACCTCCTGGAATTGAGTACAGTTTTCATTTATTTGGCTCTGAAAGTTCAGACTTAACATGGACATTTTTGCCTTGTGTTGCTCGATAATTTAACTGCTAATTGTTAATGTGCTGCAGATGAGGCATTTTCAAAAGTGCTCAGTAGCTTGAGGATAAAATAGCTTATATAGGTTACCCCAGCCGTTCGCAATATTTTTACCTGAACACAAAACCCTTTGAAATAATTTTCAGGTCTCGCAAAATCCCTACTAAAATGAATTAATTTGGGTGGGGAGGGGAGAGAATGGTGATCATTGGGAAGAATGCCCTCCTTACAGTGGTCAACACAATGCCACCCTTATGTACAGATCAAAAGATCTGCCAAGTGGCCTGGACCTTGCGTTAAGTGGGGTACACACTATGAGAAAATCAAAAGATTCTGTACGAGGAACGATCGATTTTAAATATAGTGTGCACACAACTTTTAGCATCAGATTCAGACCTCCCAAATGAAAATTTCCAAAGGAAAAAACTCAAAGAATGTGCTCGAAAGTGAACAGAACGCATGATTTTCGTTTTAAATTGTGTGGTTCTCATTCGAGAGAACTTGAATATGAAAGACTCCCCATGATCAGGGACAATAAAAATAATCTGCTACGTTTCTACGTCAAACAAAAAAAAGCCTTTGTCGTTTGACAATTTTCATCCAATTAGTACCATCCTCTGGTTCGACTTGCTGTGAAACATCAAGGATTGTTTGCCTGATTTTTTTTTTTTTTTTTTATCATGTGCACCCAGCTTTAACCAGGCACCAACACATGGTAGGTCAGTTGACTACAGCTCAAGGAACCCCTAGCAACCTCTGGAGGAATGCTAGATGAAAATGGCTGGCTTTAACCTGATCCGTCATGCTGCAACTGTTTACATTTAAATCTGTTAATATTACTAATTTTCTGTGCAATATGCTTTTGCTTTTAGATTGGTAGCCGCAGCAGTGTGTATTCACCTGAAAGCAGTGTCAGAAAGACTGGTTTCATACATTTATGAAGAGTTTATGCCTACTGATGGCACTGATGTAAAGGTACGGGGTGGATACAAAAAAAAAAATTGTGGTAAAATATCTTGACGTTTGTATTTGATATTCCGTGTACTGTTAGATTATTTTAATGCTGTCTAGGGCACCATTGATTTCCTTGTAGAGCACATTTCTTATGCTGCTATGGCACAAAGTCATTTTTTTCACTTGCAGCAGAAGCTGTCACTGGAATTTACGGTTTCATTTGTGTATTACAAAGGTTTACACTGTAGGACCAGATTATGCCCATGCTGAAGCTCGGAAATCTCCTGCACTCGACGGCAAGGTAGAGCGGGACAGTGAAGGAAAAGAAGTACGGTATCCTGTCATCCTAAACGCCAGAGAGAAACTAATAGCTTGGAAAGTGTGCTAGCTTTCAAGGTGATTACTTGTGCTCTATGAGACATGACCTGCACTAAGTATTATCACTGTGTCATTTTATTTTTATTGATGGACATCTTTCATTAAATTGATAATTTATACAAAAGTCATGCTGAACAAGATTACAAAAAAAAAGAAAGATGTTCAGTCAGGTCCATAAATATTGGGACATCGACACAATTTTAACATTTTTGGCTGTATACACCACCACAATGGATTTGAAATGAAACAAACAAGATGTGCTTTAACTGCAGACTGTCAGCTTTAATGTACATCCAAATCCAGGTGAACGGTGTGTAGGAATTACAACAGTTTGCATTTGTTTCTCCCATTTGTTAAGGGACCAAAAGTAATGGGACAATTGGCTTCTCAGCTGTTCCATGGCCATGTGTGTGTTATTTCCTCATTATCCCAATTACAATGAGCAGATAAAAGTCCAGATTTCATTTCAAGTGTGCTATTTGTATTTGGAATCTGTTGCTGTCAACTCTCAAGATGAGATCCAAAGAGCTGTCACTATCAGTGAAGCAAGCCATCATTAGGCTGGAAAAACAAAACAAACCCATCAGAGAGATAGCAAAAACATTAGGCGTGGCCAAAACAACTGTTTGGAACATTCTTAAAAAGGAACGCACCGGTGATCTCAGCAACACCAAAAGACCCGGAAGACCACGGAAAACAACTGTGGTGGATGACTGAAGAATTCTTTCCCTGGTGAAGAAAACACCCTTCACAACAGTTGGCCAGATCAAGAACACTCCCCAGGAGGGTAGGTGTATGTGTGTCAAAGTCAACAATCAAGAGAAGACTTCACCAGAGTGAATACAGAGGGTTCACCACAAGATGGAAACCATTGGTGAGCCTCAAAAACAGGAAGGCCAGATTAGAGTTTGCCAAACGACATCTAAAAAAGCCTTCACAGTTCTGGAACAAGATCCTATGGACAGATGAGACCAAGATCAACTTGTACCAGAGTGATGGGAAGAGAAGAGTATGGAGAAGGAAAGGAACTGCTCATGATCCGAAGCCTACCACCCTCATCAGTGAAGCATGGTGGTGGTAGTGTCATGGCGTGGGCATGTATGGCTGCCAATGGAACTGCTTCTCTTGTATTTATTGATGATGTGACTGCTGACAAAAGCAGCAGGATGAATTCTGAAGTGTTTCGGGAATATTATCTGCTCATATTCAGCCAAATGCTTCAGAACTCATTGGACGCCGCTTCACAGTGCAGATGGACAATGACCCAAAGCATACTGCAAGAGCAACCAAAGAGTTTTTTTAAGGGAAAGAAGTGGAATGTTATGCAATGGCCAAATCAATCACCTGGACCTGAATCCGATTGAGCATGCATTTCAGTTGCTGAAGACAAAACTGAAGGGAAAATGCCCCAAAAACAAGCAGGAACTGAAGAAAGTTGCAGTAGAGGCTTGGCAGAGCATCACCAGGGATGAAACCCAGTGTCTGGTAATGTCTATGCGTTCCAGACTTCAGGCTGTAATTGACTGCAAAGGATTTGCAACCAAGTATTAAAAAGTGAAAGTTTCATTTATGATTATTATTCTGTCCCTTTACTTTTGGTCCCTTAACAAGTGGGAGGCACATATGCAAACTGTTGTAATTCCTACACCGTTCACCTGATTTGGATGTAAATACCCTCAAATTAAAGCTGACAGTCTGCAGTTAAAGCACATCTTTTTCGTTTCATTTCAAATCCATTGTGGTGGTGTATAGAGCCAAAAATGTTAGAATTGTGTCGATGTCCCAATATTTATGGACCTGACTGTATTTAATAAAAATCACTGGAAATGGAAAAAAAAGATTTTTGAATATTAGAGGAGGAGGAAGAAGACCTTTCATTTATCCGCCTGTCCTCCATTAATAGTGTTTTTTTATTCATGAAAGCTGTAGTTCAGCTTTTATGAATGGAGGAGGGGAGAGGGGGAACTAAAGGGTGGGCATAGTTTGCACTCTTGGTGAGTGCATTATGCAGGTCCCTTGGCTTGTATTAACCCCTGCAGCACTAAATAATTTTGACTACAGGGGCGGAATCCGAGGACAGGGCATTTTTAATGAAAATTGCAGCCCTCAGCACTAGGGACACTTTGCGCTGACTGTCCCTTGTGATAATTTTTGTTAAATTTTTTTTACTGAAGTTAGGCTTTAACCTTAAGAATGTATTAAATGGGCACATAGTTTGTATTAAATGCACCCCCTGCAAACACCTTCTTGGTAATGCTAAATGCCTGCCTGTCTCACACTTCAGCGCTTTCTGAGTTAGGACCTTGAAATAATTATGCTGCTGCAATTGAAATCCGAACACCTTATTTACATACTAGCTCTGGTTTATTTACTTAAACTATTTTAGCCAATAAGGAAACAATGGCTAATATGGTCGGAATGTCCTAAAATGCAGGCGTTCTGGCAGAAAATAACCCAGTATATATAGGAAGTATCGGAAACTACCTTACAGAGGGACCCGTGGGTTTGTGTGTTTTACAATACCGAGACTCCCGTGAAACATTATAAAAAATAATGTAGTACATCACCTACTCAGTGCGGCCAATGATCTAATTCCCAAATTTTGGTTAGCCTAAGAGTTCCTAGAAATAAAGGAATGGATAAAGAGAATTGAATACATATATAAGAAGGAGGAGCTATATCATATGGAGGAGGATAAAATGGAAAAATTCAGAAAAGTGGTAGTTGGTATGACTTTAAAACATCTAGGATATATTGGGAAGCGGTAGGAGTCTAAGGTAGGAAGAGCAGGGAGAGTTTAACTGATTAACTATGGGCTTCCAGATGAAGGATTGAGAGAGAGGAGGTAGGAGAAATGGGATATAGATAGAAAAAAAAAGGAGGATATGGAAAGAATGTGGACTGGTGGAAGGGGGGTGGGAGGCAAATGGAATAGGTTTAATTTATGAGGAATTTATGTATTCATGATTTGTTTGTTTATAATGTGGATTTTGTAATGGAAAACTATAATGAAAGATATAACTAGAAAAGCTACAATTTCTGGGAAAATTGTGTGAAGTGTTCTTGCCTCCACCAGTAGTCTACAACTGGAGTGGGCGGAGTAACTGGGGGTGGAGTGGCTTGAGTAACTGTTGTGTGGTTGGAGTGGGCAGAGTAACTGTGAAAAGGTTGGAGTGGGCAGAGTAACTGTTTGGAGTGAGTAAAGATAGTAAACATTACACTAACCAATTGATCAAATGTAAAAAGTGCACATGGCAAGCTTGATAGAGTGAGAAATGTATTTCAACATTTTATTATTATTTTTACTGTTTTAAAACTATGAGAATCACAAGACACAAATCCTACAGGCTTAGGCACCAGTTTGGACATTTTTAGTGGCAGTCATGGGCGGCGGATAGCTGACTACGTTTTTGACATTTTTTGGCAGCAAGATTTTGATTTTAAGATTAGGTGTAGGTGGGCTTGAAAATGAGGGAGTGATGGCAGTTTAGAAATCATGTCCTGATTTTTCAGCTCACACTCTAGCTTATGTCAGCTCACACTCTAGTTTTGAACATTCCGCCATCATTCCTATGGGACCAATTTCACCACAAAACCGCTGATTTTTCGTGAACCATTCGGCAAAACATTCCACAAAGTAATAGCACACCAATCGGGAACAATCCGCACATTTCGGTATATTACTGTCTATGTAGTGTAAAAATTGTGGGAGGAGTTAGGGTGGTAAATTTGGCTATAATAATAAGAATATATATGTGAGATAACAGTAAGTGGTCTTAATACACTTAATAAAAAAATAAAAACTATTTTAGCTGCAGGGTCAGCATGACATCTAGGAGATTTGATTTTTTTTTCTCTCAGCACCAGATTGCTTTTAAAGCTATATCCATTTTTAAAGCCAAAGTCCTTGTTTATGACCATAACCATTAAAGTTTGGGATGTTTTTAGTGCAAGTATTAGTCCTGTTAAAGTTACAGGCATCCAGTAGGTCCCTGTCAATTATGTGCATAATACAAAAGGGCACATTTGTAAAGCTGGCACATTCACTGGCCTGAATTGACTGAACTTAAAATGCTGCTAATGTGCTGTGGCCCAATGCTTACCCTGGCCAATGCCTAAGGTATTGTAACAGTTTAACTATCGTAGGAAGGTTGAATGTGAAAGTTGCCCAGTCAAACTTCGCAATCAGGGAAGAAGGGCCTTAGTAAGAGAGGTAACCAAAAACCCAATAGTCATTCTGACTGAGCTCCAGAGATCCTGTGTGGAGGTGGGACAAAGTTCCAGAAGGACGACCATCACTGCAGCCCTCCACCGATCTGGGCTTTATGGCAAAGTGGCTAGACCGAAGGCTCTCCTCAGTAAAAAAACACATAAAAGCCCACGTGGAGTTTGCAAAAGGAATTTAAACAACTGTAGTATTAGGCTGCAACATAACAAAATTGAAAAACGGGAATTTTTTTTGAATGCACTGTATTCTTCGTAACATTCCAATTTTGGCTCCAGAAAGAATGGTTTTAAAAATTGAATACATTTTTCTTTCAAACCTGTCTTGAGAGATAAACCACTCATTATTTTTAAAACTATATATATTGTTTGAGAGAGGAAGAAGAGTTAGTGGTCTCTCATACCTGACTTTATTATTTGGTAGCACAATTACAACACTTTTTAAGGCATGGCACTTGCACATCATTAGATGATCCTAGGCTAACAAAACAAACACGGACTCCATCCTGTGTATGTGAGCAGACTCCTATATAAGCCCTGAAAGCAGATTTCCTCTTGAAACATTCACATTATCCCACTCTTAATATATCATGAGATATGGCAACATACTGAATCCTAAGGGATTCAGTAAATGGTATACCAACACTAATGTACTTAAAGTGTTTCTAAAACTTTAGGATTTTTTACCTTAATGCATTCTATGCATTAAGGTAAAAAACCTTCTGCGGTTGAAATTCCACCCCCCCCCCCCCCCACCCCACACACACTTATACTTACCTGAGCCCCAACGTGACAGTGCTACTTTGGACACGTGCAAATTTGTCTTTGACCAAGGATGATTGTTTCTGCTGTACAAAGTCGCACACAGGTCACATGTATATCATTCAGGTGCGACTTTGGTGGCTTTACATTGAGATCTATGGTATGAGTCGCATGAACATCAGACCAAAGTAGCACAGCAACTGCTTTCAAGTCACTGTGAGTTGCCCAGATATGAATGGTACTCATTTAGACACATGGGGTGCGACCTGTCATGCGACTTGGACCCACAAGTCGCATGACAAGTCACCCAAGTGTAAATGGGCTCTAAATCCTTTTAACAATTAGAGATTGAACTTCCTTCCATGGACAACAAGGGGTCTGTATCCCTTCATGAGTCCTACACAACTCTTCCTTCTTATAGAGAATCCCTGTTGTGTCCCAGATGTTCCTTGGGACAAGGAGATTTTGTAACATATTCTGGAGATGCCCAACTCTGACTTGATACTGGCAAAAAGTGTTTGATATTATCAACTATGCATTCCAGCCTAAGATGGGACACTGGAAAATCGTGGCACTTCCCTTATCAGAGCTCTGTATCTGGATTTGAAAAACTTTTTTGCACAACACAGGCTATTGCCCCAACTGCCTACTGTATGCCTGTGGATAGAAAAAGTTAAATATATTCTGCACTTGGAAAGCCTAAAATTTGTACAGAGAGGTAGCCCTGAAAATATTGTCTATGAATGGTTAAAAGACCCTACCCTTACACCCCTGGTCTAGTTGTTTATAGACTCTGGAGATCTTGGTTATTTGGATAGATAACTCGTATTTGTATTCTGAGCCATACATTTAGTATTCCAGCTGAACTGAATGAAACAAAATACCCACACAGACCATTAGGTTACAATTAAGTATATCTTGGATTTAATTGCACCAGCATCGAATATATACAATGTCCTGTTATAACTTGTTACATGTTGGAGGCCTTTTCCATTTATTTTTGTAACCAGTAGTTGGAAAACTGCTCTTGTCATTCCTTTTCTACTGTAAGTCGCATCAATATATTTTATATCTGTTGTTTTCTGTTTTACAATTGTATGAAACTCAAAAACTTGAACTTTGTTCTTTTTTTAAGAAAGATAACTTTGCAGGTGAGGCGAGAGAATGTGTGCAGGTATTTTCCATTGTAACAAAAGGAAACTGTTTGAAATAAAAATGTGCCCTTTCCACCGCTGAAGCCACCAGTGATGCACACTATTTATATGAGCTGGTTTCCTCATGGAGTTCAGCCCCCCTGCGATGATGAGACAAGTCCACATGCCACTGGGAGAGGTTTTTTAAAGGGCTTCTTAGGAAAATGGCTTCCCCTTCCAATGCAGTGATGCCAATGGCTTTTTTTTTATTGTTTAGATACAGTTACTGGCACTAGAAATATAAAATCCATAAATACTCATACATAAATATGTAATGAATGTTCCTTGATGTTGTTGCTTTTTCAGCAAACGGTTTGTGGCTTTGATCTGCTTCGTGCAAATGGCCAGTCTTATGTGTGTGATGTTAATGGATTTAGCTTTGTGAAGAACTCCATGAAGTATTATGATGACTGTGCAAAGATTCTTGGGTAAGAATTATTTCTCTATGAGCAGTGCTGACAAGATGACTTTTTAAATTAAGAAACCAGATTATTTGCAAATATTAAAGGGTCCTTGAAGAGAGATTAAATGAAGTGTAACTCCTACACTGTCAATTTGTTTCATTTGGTACCAATATAAATGAACCGCTGCTGCTAGTATGTGTTGGTGTTCCCACACCTTTAAAACTATTAAATAATGATGAATTCTGCGCTGCTGGTGTGCTGTATACATGTGATTCAATTAAATAAATCACTCCCTAGTGATAAGTATAGGCATTTAAACTAAACTACATTTGTGTATGAACACATAAAAAAAATAATCATAAAACATAGCATCTTCCCTTAGAATAAATAAATAGTGCGCATAGTAAATGGTAACATAAGAAATAATACATTTCTGATATAGTGTTTAATCAAGTCCATTTTCTCCAGTCATCAAAAGAAATTATCCTGTGAAAATGAATATCAACTTCAATCCAGATGGTGCTTCAACTTCAATAATAATACCTGGAAAATAGTGCCAGCTCCAACACCACTGTGCTCACAGAACTCTCACCTTAGTGTGGATATGTATTTGCCTGTTGATGATAGATCATCATCTCTCTCCTCAAGACACCTCCAGCACCTGCAAGGTTCAGTTATTTATATTGCTCTCCCACCCCATGCCAATGCATTAAAAAAAAAAAAAAAAAAAGACTGTAGGGGGGAAAAAAGTGAATGAGGAACTTCAATTCCTTTGATTGTGACTCCGCTGCCCTCCACTGGAGCTGTCATATTTGATAGTCCCATGGACAGGTGTGCCGCAGGGCTCTGCCAACCCTTTGGACCCTGATCAAATAGCCAGAGCATGTGTCTGATCGCAAGATTTTTCTGCACTCCATCCTGTTTTCGTGCATAGTTCAGTCCCTTAGCCTTGTTTCCACGTCGGAGGTATGGCTTTCTGGCCACAATTCTTCCATGAAGACCACTTCTGGACAGACTTTTCTGAACAGTAAATGGGTGTACCTGATTCCCACTGGTTTCCGCCAGTTTTGTGCTGATGGCACCACTGGACATCTTCCGATATCGAAGGGAAGTAAGTATGATGTGTCTTTCTACTTCATTAACTTTCCTTGGCCAACCACTGCATCTACAGTCCTCAATGTTGCCCAATCAATGGTGTGTGCACCATTTCCCAATCAATTTGGAATGTGTGCAGATACTGTTGCCTTTGTGTGAAATGGTATTGAGCCTTTATTTTTATGAATTGGTATTCCATCTGGAATAGTCCACTCTGTGCTTTCCTTATAGATATCTCAATTCAAAAATTGTTACAAAAATTGATAATATTCGAATGATGTGTATGACAAAATCAAAAATCATAATGTTTGGAAACATATTAAGAATATTTGAGTCAGGGGCCTACAAATTGCAGTCCCCTGAACTTTGTGTTCAAAGTCACATGAAGGTTTGATCATTTTTAAGCTTATGAAGTTTGTGTTTGTAACCTTTCAGAAATATCATTATGCGTGAGCTAGCCCCTCAGTTCCACATTCCCTGGTCAATACCACTGGAAGCAGAAGATATACCTATAGTTCCCACAACATCTGGAACAATGTAAGCAAATTTGTTTCTGTTTTATCTGTTTATATATTTGTTTGTATTTATTTTAAGTACAAGGTGTTGATTTTTTTTTTTATACATTTTATAACAGGCTCTAGGACATTTACCAATTATAATACATAGTGGTGCTAAAATGTCTTCCACTTTTTCATGGTTGTACTAATTAATACAGTGTATAGTTGTCATGCTGTCAGCGAGTAGTTGCGATTTTCTTTGTACCAAGATAAATTGGAGGAAATGTGAAAAGTGAATTTGACAACTTTTTTTTCTGTTCTGCCCCGTTAGTGTAACTGAACTAGCTGGTAAAGTGAACCTTAATTCCCATGCAAATGCCCTTTCCATGTCCACAAGCATAGCAAAAATGGTGTAGATTGTTCAGAAAAATCGTACAATGTAAAGATAATTACTGGATCCCCAGAATTTCTCCCACCACAGTGCCTCCAGATGCATCTTGGGAGATGTCATTGAGCTTTCTCCCTCCATGCATTTTTAGTTTCTTAGGAAATTATCCTTCCTAAATCTACTTGTTTTTCCTGTTGCTTTTGCATCTAAATGCTGGCATCATCCATCCATGAGCAGTTCAATGCTGGTGAACTAAAGCAGCAGAAGAGTATTTTATTATGGTCTTATAATGATGATTCTCTGTACATTTGCCTCCTAGTTTTTTGCTGTTTTCATACAGTCATGTTGGTTATAAAGGACCTTTTTTCAGATTGTGTGAAATGAAAAATCTGAATTATGAAGCTAGTGGCTTGTAACGTGGCTGTTAGGTGTGAATCTTTCTGAATCTAATTAGCACTTTGCCCTTTTTTGTTTTTTTTGTTTTTTTTAAAAGGATGGAGCTTCGATGTGTTATTGCAGTGATAAGACATGGTGATCGGACACCAAAGCAAAAAATGAAAATGGAAGTAAGGCATCAAAGGTAAGAATAAATTTAATGTATATGCAGAAGTTTGTATTTATTACATCACTCTAGCAACACAGGAGAGTACATGCAATTTAGAAATTCCTGATATACTATATTGGGGTCCTAAAGCTTGATCATCTAAATTTAGGCATCACTGTAACATATAAGTGTAAGGCCTCATGCACACTTGATATTTTTACATCTGCTCCTAGGGTCCTCTGGCTTTTTTTTTCTTCTTTTTTTCCTGCTTCTAAAACCGCCTGCATGCTACCCTTTGTGTTTATGCACACATACATTTTTAGAGGTGTTTGGAGGAAAAAAAACCCACTGCCAGGAAAAATGCCTGATGCTTCATTAACTCTAGGTGTCTTTAGCACTTGAGTGTTAATTCAGTTCAATGGCCAGAATAAATTATTTTGTCCAATGAAATGAATGCCCAAACACTTGACCCAGCTAAATGCTAGATGTTTTTTATTCTAAAAAGAAATATGTGCTGCGAGATAAAAGTTGGTCTCCTTTAAAGACTCTGAGGGTATTGAAGCATTAAATTAAATGGCCAGGCAATTGGCACTTTCAAAAGAGGTTGGCAGTAGCCTACAAATTTCTACCTGTATGGGTGTTTTGTGTGTATGTGACACTTTTCCTGCTTTTGTTCTTGTAAAGAATACCTTTATGGCCTTTTGATTGTATACTTAATATAATATAATAAATCTATTGATGTACTGCAAGTAAATGCAACTTCCTTTGTAAATGGTTAACTTTAGAATGCTTCTTTATATTTTGCAAAGTTCAGCAAGAAGAAACCTGATCTCAAGAATTTTACCTATATTGAATGAGTTTTGTGAGGCTTTCACTTTTTGTTCAAGTGAAAAGTCTTTTAAAGTTAAAGCCATTTAAGTAAAACCAAGATAACATTTTGTTATCCCACCTGATGTATAGTAATATTTTCATATAATGGGAAATAATCTTTACTTTTTAATGAATTCTTCAAGGTTTTTTGATCTGTTTGAAAAATGTTACGGCTACAAGACTGGGAAATTAAAGCTGAAGAAACCAAAGCAATTGCAGGCAAGTAAATTTTTGTAGGAATGAGTCACATGCAAAATCTAAAGAAAGACAAGCCAGGTGTTTTCAGGTTTATATTTGGTAAGATATTTTGTTTTACGTTAACAGGAAGTCCTGGATATTGCAAGGCAGCTTCTTGTTGAGCTTGGACAAAACAATGATTCCGAAATTGAGGAAAGCAAAGCAAAGCTGGAACAGCTTAAAACAGTGTTAGAGATGTAAGTAGATTTGACTCTGTGAAAGTAGTAAAAGTATGCATTTCCTTCATGCTCATAATATTAAAATGATCCTTTTTTTTTTTCTCCTTGGTGTCTATGGAAGACCATACTATATGATATGTACCTGTCCTGTTTCCTGAATTGAAACACCTCCTAGCCCTCTGCATAGGCATGTTTTGGTGATATATTTTGCACAGATTTGTTGAATTCTTACTAATAGATATACCTGTGTCCTGCATGGGAAAAAAGGCTGTGGGATATTTATAAAGCAGAAAATGACTTTCACCAAACATTCACCAGTAGTGCATCAATCATTTATTACACATGCTTCTGGAAGATTGACCTAGAGTGAATTTCTGGTGATGATCAGATTCACTGCTTTATAAATGTTTTCTTTTGTCTTTTTATGACAGAGTTGGAAAATAATGCTAAACCCAAATCTCAAATAAGCTTTAACATGTTAATGTGATTTCTAAAGTTAAATATTTTTAAATCAGTAGCCTTCAAGAAACCATACCTGGTGATAGGGTAGAAGCACTTTGTTCTCCCTTGTGGTCACCTTGTCACATGGTATAACAATAACTACAACAAGCACACATTATTGGATATGGTACACTGTTGTCATCAGGAAACCTGCTGTGGAAAATGATGCGCAGAAGTTGTTGAAGTGTATTAATGTAGACAGGATGTGGCTATAAAGAGGGTTGCAGGAGATCAGCAGCACTGAATGTAAAAATGATGAAAACCGTGTTTTATTTAGAAAAATATTATACTCATTTTATACACAGTCCTTTATCAAACTAAAAGTAATTTAGTTAGGTTTTACATAAATTTTGATTTTTTTTTTTGTATAGAAACCTTCCTAGGTTGTAAACTCAATCTTTTTTAAGGGACATTGAGTCTTCTAGTTACTGAGGACATCTGGTTGTAACCTTGCCATTCCTGGCATTTAATTAGTGAAATAGTTAAAACCACTTCTTATTCTAATTAGGCCATCTCTTTAGTGTCACTTTCACTGTAAACTAGGCCAATTAGTCAGTTTGTTGAAACTCCATAAATTTCTTTATAGGGACCTGTCACAGGTTTCCTTTGATGTTTCTCATCAATTTAAAATTTACCAAAAGCAAAGTTATTGTCAATGTCCTCTTTCATGTTTATAATTAGTATTCATAAAACTGTTTGGTAATTGCGTTATTCACTGTGTCTTAACCACTTGCCTACTAGGACAATTTTTTCTTTTTTTTGCACACATACTAAAATCAGATTTTCTTTGCTAAAATTACTGTAAACCCCTCCCCCATTAAAAAAAAGTAACTAAACGTATTGAGACTTAAAATTGCGCACATGCTTGGGTTTGCAAAACATATAGTACCCAGCAGTCTCTATAGGTGACCCTTTAAGTGCCTTTTCAGGTTATCAGTTTAGAGTTTACCCCTGAACTATGGTCCTAGAAGTATTGCTCTCACTCCGACATTCGCAACAATACCTCACGTGTGTGGCGCAATTGATGTTTACATACACTGGCTCACCCTACCCTATGCTTTTTATATGGGGTGTGTGCAGAAGTGATGGGGGTGCTTTAACATTTTTTCCATTATTTTTATTTGTTATTGAATTCTTTTTTATTTTATTGCTAACACAAGGGGGCTAATGAAAGCCCTCTATGATAACATAGGCAGGTGAAAGGTACTCCTTATGTAAACCTTGGAGGTCCAGTGCACCTATTCAAACACAGATTCTGTTTGAATACCTAGAGTTATACTTGCCGAGGAATGACAGCTGTGACTCCTGAAAGTGACTTAATACACGTTACTTCTGGGGTCATTAGTCCCATGAAGGAGTTCATCCTGTTTTCACCGGGAAAGCTGTTTCCCATGATCCCGTGCTCTTCCCCTCTATCAGGTGCTTATTGCAAGTAAGAAGGGCGGGTTGTTCAGTGATGCAATGCACCCTTTGAGAGCCCCATTAACTTGATCAAGAGGCTCTACAATCGCCCCAGTCACTTTTATCAGAAATCCCTTCACCTGCTCTTAAAGCTGTGGGCATGATTTAACCACTTGGCTATCATTTTGTATATAATGTACCTTTGTAGACAAGAGGTTATAAACACCCAAAATGTTTTTCAGGCAGGGGCTCAAACTTCTTTCATGTTCCTGTCTGCTGTGGCTTGTTGTGGAGATTCAACTGTTCTCCTTGCTGGAGTTTCTCACATACTAATATGTCCACCTCTAAAGAGAGATACAGTGCAGAACAATAGATGGTCAAGTCCGTAATAAGGAAATATCAGTTGCAGGGTGATCACAGGCAAGACTGGTAACTAGTCCTTTGCTATCTGCCTGCATTTCTTCAACAGAGCTCAGCTCCTGTTAAATTTCAAATAAAAAAGCTATTAGGACAGCTAATAAAGTGATTGTTAAAGCAAAACTTTTTTTTTTGTCATTGCAAAGGGAAAGCCCGTATTTTATAGCAGTGAGAAAAAGAGGTTAGAGACATCTTCCAGAGGGAAACTAAAGTGTTGTTGACCATTCTTCTTAGGTGAAAATTCACCCTTTTGGGAGATTTCATCTTTCTTTCCCGTTGCACTCCAAGACGAGAAATGAAAAGAAATCTTCCCTTCTCTATCCAACACAAAAAAATTGGCTATACTTAGCTATACTGACTCCAAACCAAACTATATTAAATAATGCATACAACAGAAGTTCATATGTTTGTGGTCTTATGTACTCGCTACTGAAAATGCAGGTTATTGCTACTTGTTTGTATTCACCAGATCATTGTTAATATTTTTCAAGGTATGGACACTTTTCTGGAATAAATCGCAAAGTTCAGTTGACATATCTTCCCCATGGTTGTCCTAAGACATCTAGTGAAGAAGAAGGTACAGTTTGGTCTATTGTTACTGCTATATATAAAAAAAAAAAAAAAGTTTGGGTTGATGGGATAGTTAGGCTCCAAAATCTACATTAAAGCGGATCTTCACCCTGTCCTTTCTGGAATATGTCACTTACCCCAGGAGGCAAAGTCTTTCATTTATAAAAGGAGGGGAGGCGTGCCTAATGGCGTGCCATTGGGAGGCCTGCCAGCTGAGCCCAGTCAAGATGGCAGTCCTCCCAACGACATCACACAAGAACATGGCAGGTTAGGGACCCCAAGTGGTGGCAGCAGAGAAGAGGATCTCAGTAGGATAACACTGGATACACGGGGTGGGTAGGTGAGTATCTGAATTGTGCAAAACCCAGGGCCTGGTAAGCAGTGATTGAAAAGGAAAAAAAAAGATGGGGGTGGGTGGGGGAGAGTGAAGTTCCTCTTTAATTGTGCAGCTATGTTAGATGGTCACTGTACTAGAGTATTGTTCTGTGTTGGCCGTGGGTAATAGAAGGAAAGTAAAAATGCAAAACCAATGTAAAACCTTTTCACTTTTCAATACTCTCAAATAAATTTGTGTAGCTGCCCTTTTGCAAATGAAATACAATTGTGCCCAAAAGTTTGCATACCCTGGCAGAAATCATGAAATTTTGGCATTGATATGACTGATCATGCCAAAAACTTGCTTTTACTTATGGATAGTGATCACATGAAGCCATTTATTATGACATCATTGTTTGGCTCCTTTTTAAACATAACAATAACAGAAATCACCCAAATGGCCTTGATCAGAACTGGAATGTTTGACCTTGCTACAGGACTCAAAATTGACATTTCATAAGTGACTCTTATGACTTCATAGCTTAGAGACAAACGGACACAGACAGCGGCCGCATATTACTGCAGCTGAGCTAAGGGATGCTTGCGAACAGCTGCAAACATTCAGGGTACACAAATCAATGACAGGCTGATTGGATCCATGGTAGTCCACTAATCCTTTGCATGTATTGAGAATTTACCTACATCTGTGTGCGTCCATGGTCGGACATCTGTCCCTAGCTCAAGTAATTGCTCAGTATGCGGTACATTTTCTGTCATTGCTTTGTTCAAGCTGAGCAGCCCCAGCTGTCCACAACCTTCTGGCAGCCAAGCCTTAGCAATAATAATGTCCATGCCTGTCTATACCTGTTCGTCCATGTGATTGAGGCTGTATATTGAAGCTGATATTCTGAAATGTTGATGTGGATTAAAAAAAAAAAACCTGTAGTAAGGAAAATTTAAATATTGATGAAATTAACCTCTTCTGACAATGATAATTGTCTGGCTAACATCATAATCCAGTGGCTTCATTACTTTCATAGTCATGGACATGGCACAAGTAAGTAGATCAGATGTTATAACTCTTATTGGCTACATGTTCTGCCTCAAGTGTCTCCAAAGGTATTGAAGTCAGAGAGGGCCAGGGAACTATCACTTTTAGAAGAATGTCAGTACTGGCATCCACCATTTCTTTTATTAGTGCAGGTTTCCAGTAAAGCCTTGTCATTGCTATCTTAACAGCTTAGACAAAATGTTGTCCATAAAGCCAGTATAAATAGTATGAACATCCTAATGTATGTTGTTGTAGGAAACTGAACTTTCCCAAAAGGTCAATAAATCAACAAGTATACACTAGCTTTCTATACTTCTTGGAGACTTTAGTAGTGCAAGTCTCCTACTTAAGTTCTTCACATATTTCATTTGCCACAATGATTAGAATGCCAATTGTTAGTCTTCTACTAAATTTCTGGCTCTTCAGTGATGTGAGAGCAACGTATACATGGATATATTTGCAGTGACATGGTGCGATTATGCTGATTTTTCAGCGAAGGCAAAGTTTTCACTTTCTGTCCCATTTGTACTGATTTAGAAAAAGCTGTTGCTTTATATGACATGTTCTTTTTAGACTGTCGAAGAGATGAGCCATCACTACTTCTAGTCCTTAAGTGGGGAGGTGAACTGACCCCTGCAGGGCGAGTTCAAGCTGAGGAACTCGGGAGGGCGTTTCGGTGCATGTATCCTGGAGGACAAGGTAATAACATTCAGCTTCAGGGTAACTATACTAGGCATTATGCAGGAATGTGTAATGAAAATGCAATAGTTATCTTTTAATCTAGTTTTGTATAGTTAGGTTGAAAAGACACAAATCTATCTAGTTCAGTCAATAGACAATATGAATTAGAAAAATATAAAAACTCCATATACAAAACCCTATACCCACATTTGATGCAGGGGAAGGCAAAAACCCCTGTAAAGCATGGTCTAATTTGCTCCAACAGGAATAATAAAAAAAAGAAAATCCTTCCTGATCCAGTAAGGCAATCTGATATTCCCTGCATCATTAATATCTGGTCTTATCACTTATAAATGTTAATAGACACATTTTCTGTGCATTTAGGAACATATCCAGCTATTACAAAAAAAAATCCACTGAGCAGGCTAGAACTAGATCCTGAAAGAATGTGTTCCACATTTTCACAGCACTTACTGTGAAGAAGGCTTTTTCTGTACATGCAGGTTAATACTCTTTTTTCTTTCTTACACACAGAGAGCCATCTTGTCCTTTGTAATGAGCCTAAAATGAATAACTGTACATTAAGTTCACTATATGTACCATTTTTGCCTTTATATTCTACATCAGTGGTCCCCAAACTGCGTCCCGTGGGCTGGATGTGGCCCTTTGCTAGCCTATATCCGGCCCGCGAGTCACCATTCTTTCTTTTGACAATAACAATGGTGCACCGATCCATCCACTGACATCAATCGATTTATACCAGTGATAGGGCGCCATTCCTCCCACTAACACCAATGATGGAGGACCATTCTTTCCACTAACACAAATGATGGAACACTGTTCCACTAATACAAGGGGTCACTATTCCTTCCATTAAAACCAAGGGTTGGGCACTGCTTACATCCACTGACGCCGGAGCATTTTCTACTCCACTGGCCATAGTCTGACCCCCCTAAAGCCTAAAGGACAGTAAATTGGCCCTTTGTTTAAAAGGTTTGGAGACCCTTGCTCTACATAATGATCATATCCTCCCTAATTGCCTTTTCTCAAGACAGAACAAATTCAGTTCAGCTAATCTTTCCTCTGAGCTGAGGTCCTCTGTGTCTCTTAAGTTTGGTTGCTTTTCTGTTTTTACTCTCCCCAGATCCCCATTATACATACACATTATGTACTTCTTTAATTGGAAAGTCAAAAATATTTACCCGTGCCTAACTTCTGCTATGTAAATATCAAAACAAACCCCCTCATCACAAGTGCCTCAGTTTTGTGTGATATCCACAAGTATAATCTGCAATTGCACATTGTTTTTCAGGAGACTATGCTGGTTTCCCAGGATGTGGTTTACTTAGATTACACAGTACTTACCGACATGACCTGAAGATCTACGCCTCAGATGAAGGGAGAGTCCAGATGACTGCTGCAGCTTTTGCTAAAGTATATTGATATGTGGTTTACATTTCCAGCTTTTTTGGGTGTGCATATTAGTTTTTTTTTTTTTCCCCTAAAAACCAAGATGGATTTAGAGTGCCTTACTTGGTTTTAGGTTTGCATTTTTTATCTGTTCTGAAAAAAAAAATTGGCGTTGGTCAAAATGAAAAAGAACTGTAACATTCCTGTAGAGACTAATGTGGTAACAGTATATAACTAAACTAGTTCAAAACCACCTTATAAAGGGCCCTATGGAAAGAACGATGACTTAATAAATTGCACAATTCGATGCCTTGTGCCCATTGTCATCTGCGTGTGCTGTGCAGAAGTAGCTTTTTCTTTGCCTTTGTGAATGTCATAATTTGCATATCAGTTTGGGGGCACTTTGAAATTTGAAGGACGTTATAAAGCAGGTTTGTTATAAACTACAGCTATGCAACTTTTTTCTTAGCACAGGTTTAGTTTCCTTTTAGTCTTATTGCATATTTTGTGAAGGTCAATTACATTTACATCTGTGTTTTCTGGCTGTTTTTATATGTATTTTACACAGGTAGAAGCATATTTATGAAGTGTCCAAGGACCTCTCGGTTTTAACTTTTAGCTGTCAGTTGCATCTTCCATTTCCTATAGGTAGAAGGGGTAGGAAATGCAAGGGGGAAATCCATTTGTTGCTAGAGGGAAAATATAAACAATTCTTTGAAAGTTCACACACTTAGTCATTTTGGTTTTACCAAATTTAATTCCTAGGGCTTGCTGGCTTTGGAAGGTGAGCTGACCCCAATACTTGTGCAGATGGTGAAAAGTGCCAATATGAATGGTCTCTTGGATAGTGACAGTGACTCATTAAGTAGCTGTCAGCATCGAGTGAAGGCACGACTTCATGAAATACTTCAGCGGGATCGTGATTTTAGTTCTGAGGACTATGAAAAGGTAACTTTGGAAGATGGGAGAGGAATTTTTATATCAGTAATGCTATAAGTTATTGCTGTGCTTTTAGGGTGCTGTTTTACTTCAATGTCTGTCGTTACGTAATTCAGACCTGTCGTTTTGCCTGCATAACATCAATAATTTGCAGCTTCCTGTGTTGAGGGGCCATCTCAATATCTTCCTGCACATCTGCTTGCTGCTGAAACAGAATGTATCCAATAATAAAGTGGTAACACTATTCTTAAAAATGTTCCCTCCTCCCACCTCTTCCTCCTCCTGCATACACTGTGTAAAAAAATAAATAAATAAAATAAAACTGTATACTTAAATTTTTTCAGTTTGGTCACTTGATCCTGCAGCTCCAGCTCCCCTGTGTAATGAAATGCTTGGCAACAGTTAAGAGCTGTATGATCTATGATGTCACCCATAGACTCCCATGTCCCAGCCATTGTCGGCGCTCCCTCCTCAGCCCTGTATTCGCCACTTACTGACAGAAGGAAGCAGCAGCTGCAGGATCACGTGACCAGACCATGGACAGGTCAGGTGGCGCGCTTCTGTATCGTCAAAGGGAGTATAGTTAGCGGTAGAGAGGAGAAGAGAGCCGGGAGGTCTGTGCTGTGCCCTCTCCCCTCTCTGTAAACTGGAGTGAGAAATGCACAGCTCCCATCACCTCCCTGCTCTCTCTCCTTCTTTTTCTGATCTCAGTACTGTAGTGATGATTAGGATATAGTGGGATGAGAGCTTTTGTGTTAGGAGGGGGCATTTGGATTGGGGAGGAGGAACATATTTGTGTTGGGGGGGAGGTGGGATTTGTGCTAGGAGAGGGAGGTTGGGGGATGGGGGATTTGTGCTAGGAGGGGGGGGGGGGGGACGTGGGGATTTGTGCCTGGAGGGGAGATTGGGGGTGAGATTTTTGCTAGCAGGGTGATTATGGGGGGAGAGGATTTACGGACACTGCCTCACAAACCACATTTCAGGGCTTGTTCACACCAGGCGCGTGCAAAATCACACGTTTTCCCGAACTGGATAAAAGTGTAGTCTTAATGGCAACCCCACGCATTCAGCAAATGTGATTGCATTTATGGCCGTTAAAACACATGGTACTTCAGTAGCATGTGTTTTGGTGCAGCATGCTTTTAAAGTTTCACGCTGGCACCTTTTTTGTGTGAATCACACAAATAGGGCAACCCATTAAAGCAATATGATGCCCAGGGAAATGCGCAAAATAGTGTGCATAATTCTAAAGTGTGCCCTGACTGAAAAAAGGTTAAAAAACACTGATATAAATTACATGAAAAACGAAACGTTTTAGATCGCAAAGGAAAGACCTCCATCAGGTTCTTTTATGCTGATTTGCGTCCCACCAGGGAGATTTCCCTATGCTTCATGCTCAGAAAACACAAGAAAATACAAGGAAATCCTCTTATCTGGTATCTGAAGATTATCCCTCATCTCCTGTTTTGTGAAAAATCAAATATTTTGGATTTCCCGTTACTGATGATGTTTACCAAGACCAATAGTGAAGTTTAGAAGAAAATGGCAGATAGCAATAAAGAAAAAAAATAAAAAGGGTACTTTAATGCATTGTATTTCATTGAGTAGATCAATGTCCAAATCTTCAATGATAAATGTTGTTTTGTGATATGAGGCACAAGGTGATAAATAAGATATTGTCAGGTAATTTCTCCAAATCCTAATACTAGTGTTTTCTTTTAGAGCAATGTACACCTAGTGGGGCTTCTAACCCTTTCACATTGTATCCAGCACTTAGTTTTGGCTTCACATACCCTTTAAATACAGTATTATGAAGTAGGTTATGTTCCCCTAAACAATTAACAGCTGTGTTCCGTAACTAGATGAATTCTGATTGGTTACTATAGGTCAGTACTTTATAGGACTACTATTGCTGTCCTCCCCCTTTTAAAAACACTAGTCTCCTGGCTGTCATAATGAATAATGTCCTTGTGCCACTGATGTGGAGCAAGTACACAGATCTGAAATTCTGACTTTACTTGCTGCATGCTTACTCCTGATCAGTGACCTAAAAGTATGGAAGAGATAAATAGCCTTGCATTTCCAGAAGGAGGTTGGCAGTTGCAACCTATATATTTCTTTCAGTACAGGTTTTCTTTTTGTATAGTAACTCCTTTTGAATAATGTCATAAGTGGCTGTTTGTGCTCGTACATGGAATGTCACAACCGAACAGTAGGTAGCCTGCCTTCGTTTTTCTATTCATTTCTTGTGGATTTATGAAATGCCAGCAAGGAATCAGCTATTGGAGCCCTGTATAACCTAGGCAGTTGTGGTAGGTGGATGCCATGGGGTTGATTTACTAAAACTGTAGAGTGTGAAATCTGGTGCAGCTCTGCATGGTAGCCAATCGGCTTCTAACTTTATCTTGTGCAATTAAACTTTGACAAAAAAAATTGGAAACTGATTGGTTTCTTTTTAGAGCTGTACCAGATGTTGCATTCTCCAGTTTTAGTAGATCAACCCCTATATGTTTTCTTTCATGTGTTTAAATGCAACAGTACACTTGTTGTCTCTCTCTTACCCAAGGTTCCTGAAATGGTGCGACAAGCAAATGTGTATACTTCCTGTGTCAATATGAATCATTATCACTAAACTTCTTGTTTTACAAAAAAAAAAAAAAAAAAAGCCCTAAAACGCTTGAAAAATTAGAACACTTTATTGAAATATTAAACTGCTTTAATTTTGTACTTTTAGCTGACACCTACTGGAAGCATATCGCAGATTAAATCCATGCAGATTATAAAGAATCCAGTTAAGACCTGTGACAAAGTGTATTCATTAATTCAAAGCCTAACATCCCAAATTCGACTAAAAATGGAAGATCCAAAATTTGCAGGTAATGTGATCTAGAATATGTGCCTTTTATAAAGCCTCCATATGTTTTTCAGTGGTTTTGTTTGTAATTACCAAAGCATCAATTATAGTAATGGGACAAGGAAATGCATGTTGCTGGTGTTTTATACAGTTGTGTTTGCTGATCTATGCCAAAAATTTCATCTGCAATGATGAATTCTGATTTAAAATGAGATGCACTGACATTTTGCACGGTTCCTCTTTTGTAGATATTGAGCTCTATCACAGTGAGACCCTGGAATTGATGCTGCGCCGATGGTCCAAACTGGAAAAAGATTTCAAAACAAAAAATGGAAGATACGATATCAGCAAGATTCCTGATATTTATGATTGTATAAAGTACGACGTGCAACATAATGGGTCATTAAAACTGGAGAACACAATGGAATTGTATAGGGTATCCAAGGCACTAGCTGATATTGTTATTCCTCAGGTAATCTGGCTATACTTAACTATAGTGGGTAGAAGTGAACTGATCCCTCAGTCTGGCTGTGGGTCTTTGGCTGTCCCAAGCCAAAGTGATCACATATCTTTATTGCTTAAGAGGCTGAAGTCTGTCTGATATTTCCCTGGAACGAAAAGCTGGGGTTTCTCTATCTTCCGATTCATTCCAGTGCCAAGAGCAGCTGTTATGCCTTGACTGAGGAAGCAGTACTTTTTACTTCCTTTTATGAAACAGATCAGCAGCAATCCTGGGGATCGTTGCTGATCTCCAATTATTAGTGGTTTAGGAGACAGAGATGACCAGCGGAGAACATGTTCTCCACTGATCATCTCAGGACACAGATGGCCAGTATATGAAGGAGCGATGTCAGCCCTTCACTGGTGATCTGTGTTCTCCCTCCAGATTCTCCAGCCCAGAGGTGGAGAATCGGGGGAACCGCAAACGCAGAAGCGATAATTTACCGCACCTTAGTAAACAGTGTTTGACTGAGCACTTACTGTAATCTCGCGAGATTATAGTAAAAGCAGCCGTTTTGCAGCGTTTGTAGATCGCTTTTCCTTCATTTGGAGAACTGATCTTCACCGCTTCATAAAAAGGCATTCACAGGAGAACTGTGTTCTATGAGAATGCTGGAGAACTGAGCAGCAGCCATTTACCACTGCATGATAAAAGGACACCATAGTACCGTATTTTCCGGCGTATAAGACGACCCCCTAATTTTCCTGCTAAAATATAGGGTTTGAGCTATACTCGCCGTATAAGACTACCCCTCTTCCAACACACACCAAATAAAAATGAAAAAAACATCAGATTTGATTTCAAATGGTATGCTATTTCAGTATGGTATTCCAATGATGGGGTGCTATTCCTCCCACTGACACCAATGATGAGGCACTACTCCTCCCACTGACACCAATGATGAGGCACTACTCCTCCCACTGACACCAATGATGAGGCACTACTCCTCCCACTGACACCAATGATGGGGCACTATTTCATCCACTGACACCAATGATGGAGCACTATTCCTCCCACTGATACCAATGATGGGACACTATTCCTCCCACTGACACCAATGATGGTGCCCCATCATTAGTGTCAGTGTGTGAGGAATAGTGCCCCATCATTAGTCAGTGGGAGGAATAGTGTCCCATCATTAGTCAGTGGGAGGAATAGTGCCCCATCATTAGTCAGTGGGAGGAATAGTGCCCCATCATTGGTGTCAGTGGGAAGAATCGTGCCCCATCATTGGTGTCAGTGGGAGGAATAGTGTCACATCATTGGTGTCAGTGGGAGGAATAGTGTCACATCATTGGTGTCAGTGGGAGGAATAGCGCCCCATCATTGGTGTCAGTGGGAGGAATAGCGCCCCATCATTGGTATCAGTGGCAGGAATTGCGCCCCATCATTGGTATCAGTGGCAGGAATTGCGCCCCATCATTGGTGTCAGTGGGAGGAATTGCGCCCCATCATTGGTATCAGTGGGGAGAATAGTGCCCCATCGTTGGTGTCAGTGGGGAGGAGGAATAGTGCCCCATCGTTGGTATCAGTGGGAGGAATAGTGCCCCATCGTTGGTATCAGTGGGAGGAATAGTGCCCCATCTTTGGTATCAGTGGGAGGAATAGTGCCCCATCAGTGGGGAGAACAGTGCCTCATCGTTGGTGTCAGTGGGGGAGGAACAGTGCCTCATCGTTGGTGTCAGTGGGAGAGGAACAGTGCCTCATCGTTGGTGTCAGTGGGAGAGGAACAGTGCCTCATCGTTGGTGTCAGTGGGAGAGGAACAGTGCCCCATCGTTAGGGGGAGAGGAGCGGCTGCTCCTTCTTCCAGTTCGGCCGCTCGATTTTTGCGGGGCCGCTCGTCTCCGCCTCCTCGCTGGTGATTGGTCACCTGTGTGCCTTTCCAGTGCTGGCGCCCAATCACCGGTGAGGAGGCGGAGCCGAGCGGCCGCGTGACCATCGAGCGGCCGAACTGAAAGAAGGAGCAGCCGCGCTTCCTGGACCGGAGCCAGGTAAGGTACAGCAGCCCCTCTGCCCACCCCTGTAGTTAGTGTCCGTTGGAGGAGGGAGGGGGGGGCGGCGCCGCGTCGCCCCTCGAAAAAGTGCCGCTCTGACACCGGCTCGCACCGGCGTATAAGACGACCCCTGACTTTTCAGAAGATTTTCAGGGGTTGAAAAGTCGTCTTATACGCCGGAAAATACGGTACTTTCATTATTTTCTGTACACCAAAACAGAGGAAGCAGACTGCCTCTGCTTAGAGGGAGAAAATCATCTTACAAGCTGTGATAAAGGGCTATTTTTTGAAGGTGTTTTTTGAAGGTGTGATCATTTGGGATGGTAGAAACCACTTAAATATCTCAGGCAATGCATGAAATTGGGAGCTATACTTTTCTTTTACTTAGGAATATTGACATTGTTTATGATCATTAGTCACCTAGAGCACCCAAACTTCCTCTAATAGCATAAATGCATTTTTTTGGTCATTTTACAAAGATATTTAAAAAAATCTGTGATGATCGCTTAAATGAATACCTTCTAAATGATGGCCCTACTTGGCGCAATGTTTATGTGCATGTTTTACCAAGCCTAAAAACTGGGGGGCTTGATTGGGCTATTTATGCCAATTCATAGTTGTGCCGTGATTAAAAATTCCACACTTCAGAAAACCAGAGAGTTTATATAAATCTGAAGGCATTTGCAACAAACCGGGTTTTACAAATGACATTGATCACAAATGCATGACAATAAAAAATGAGTTTAATTTTGTTTCCAGCAGTCTGTATGCTGTATTGAATTGCAACTCATAAGTTCTATGACAGGCTCACGGTGAAACAAAATTATCTTTTATCATGCATTGTCTCTTAAATAGCATAGTTTCAGAAATGAAAAGTATGGGAAGTGATAATCAAAGTATGAGGTACTGGTAAAACGGCATTCTGAACGAGTTATTTCAGTTTTGTAAAACTGGCAGTGCTGTAAGATGAAACCCTTGAAGGTTAGGATTCTAGCACAAATAGGGTGATTTCCATCCAAAAGACCAAATTTTGTGATGACTCAGTTCCTAATACTGTGAATGATTTCTTCTGTTTCACCTTGAACTTTGAATAAATTGAACCATGTAGGGCAGGTAATAGAATGGTATTTCACGTATGCATCCTAATGTTTGCCTCACTGAGCTTTTTAAGACCAGTTTATATTCTAAAATATAATTGCTGGCTCAGGTGTGTGTATAACATTGACTCCCTTGTGTTTTAGAAGTGGCTGTTCTAGCTTGCATAATATATTAAATGGTAATCCAATAACACAGTTTGGTACCCCAGCCTACAGTCAAGAGCTAAAAATTGCATACGTTTTGTACCAACCATACCACATCAGCACTATTATAGCAGAGATCTGAAGCAGCTACATATTTCTCTGGTGATTTGTAGTTTGGTACAGGGCTGCTTTTGTAGATGGCTGGAATAAGTTTTTCTATAGCTTCAAATCATTGAAATCATTCGCTACTGAGCCTGGCAACTTTTTTTTTTTTTTTTTTATAGTTCGCCTCAAAAGTAAAAAAAATGTCCTTGCTAAGAATAACTCTTAAGGGAGAATTTAATAAAGCTGGAGTAAACAGAACCTGGAGCAACTGTGGCTAGTAACAGTTAAGCTTTCAAAATGAAAGCTAGAAGCTGATTGGTTGTCAAGCAGAGCTGCTGCAAATTCTGTTTGCTCCAATCTTGGTACATTCCCCTTAGTGCTCATGTTGCATAGCCCTTAAGGCAGCTATTTTTTAGTCTGTGTTTTTTTTTTTTTTTTTTCTTCAGTTTTGAGTCATTGTTCCAGAAGGATATAAGCTTGAGCTTGGTAAATTAGATGTTGAAATAACTGTAATTTTATGTGGTCTGGCTACCACTGCAATTACTTTGAAGTAGAACTATAGGCATAACCTTTTTTTTTTTTTTTCATTTTTGGATACAGTAAGGGAGGGTTATAACCCTTGTCAGTTTATTTTTTTGCCGTGTCCCATTGGGGAGGTTTACCATCACTTCCTGTCCGATAGCCAAAACAGTAAGAGAGAGTAAATCCCTGCAAATGAAGGGAATTCCCTGGGGACCCCCAGATCTTCAGAATTAGCATCCCCATTGTAAAATGTACCCTCTATTACTTTTCTGGGGACAACCCAAAATTGGTGTTTCTTTTGATGATAATGATAAACAGGACAAATGGAATGGGTGAATCTTCTAATGGGGGGCATAGGCAGTAATAAAACTGACAGGTATTCTGATCCCTCTCCACTCTGTCCAAAACTAATTTTTATATATATATATATATATATGTATGTATGTATAAAATGTGTTTTTTTTTTGTTTTTTTTTTCATGTGTTGCATTGTTTTTATTTAATTCATTAACACTTTAAATATAAATGATTTGGTTTTGTCAAGTAAATGGAAACCAAACGTGCAAATCTTAAAATTGTGCACATGTGAATTCACAAAAAATGATGGTACCCAAAATTCTCCATAGGTGACACTTTAAACGCCTTTACAGGTTATCAGTTTAGAGTTACTCCTGAACTATGACCCTAGAAATGTTACTCTCGAGGCTTATTTCAGAATGGAAACATTTCCAACTGGCTGTCTCAGTAAGTCTTACGTCCCTGGAATTCCCTTCTGCTACTAGCTCATGATCTCTTCAGCAACTATGAACCTATCGCAGATTATGCTCCCCTAGATTCTTCATATCTAGCTAATGCCCCATAAGGTTTTTGATTACATTTCAGCTTTAACTAGGAGTCTATAAACCTCATTCTTAATTATGGTCATTACATGATTTGAATTGTGTTTTCTGAATTCTAATATTGATTATATGCTTCCAGTGCCTTGTTGAACTTGCTGACTTGTTGAATGATGATGTGGAGTTTCTGTCCCAGTGGCATTATAGAAAGCACATCATCAATAGAAGTATACAGTATATAAAGGAAATCATAATGTTAAGTAACAAATAGTCAGGGTTATTATATTGTGCACATAAAGCCGGTGCATAAGACTGTACTTTAAATTGTTTTGGGCAGAAAAGCATAGGACATTTACTTTTTGTGTTCTATTTTAGGAATATGGTATATCCAAAGCAGAAAAACTGGAGATTGCTAAAGGTTACTGTACACCTCTTGTTCGAAAGATTCGCTCTGATCTACAAAGAACACAAGATGATGACACAGTAAATAAGCTTCATCCACTGTAAGAAGGTTTTTTTCCTTTGTTTCCAGATATTACCATACTGTATTAGCACTTACAGAAAAGCATGAGCTGTCACAGCTTGCCATTAATGATGACCTGTCGCCATTAATCTGTAGTTTTCGTTCACCATTTAGACATAATTGGTCAAAGTTCTTAAGACAGCTGAAACCAACCCCTGTCCTCACCAAATAGACATAATGGTGTTTTTTTCTTTAGTGTCTGACAACCTACAGTTGGAAAAATACCTGAAAAGCACCTCTGCTTTCGTGCCAAAATAGCTAAAACACACAGGAAAAGCTGGCATCTTTTGTTTTTCAGGTATTCTCGTGGTGTGATGTCTCCAGAGCGGCACGTGCGCACACACGTTTGTATTTTACCAGCGAAAGTCATGTTCATTCACTACTGTCAATTCTTCGTTTTGGAGCGCTCTGTGATGTAAGTAGTTGGTTTTAAAAAACGAGGGGCGTTCAAGTCAAACCGGAACTTTTAATTTTGCAGGTTTAAAAGGGGATGCTAGCATAGCAGTAGTACATGCAGTAGTAATTGGCAAGTGTGTCCTATTACTGATAGGCGGCGCACATGTTGCTGGTCAGTCCAGAGACCATTAATCAAGATGGCAGACAACAGTGTTAGGGCGTGCATGGAACCGTGTGTGGTGATGAAGTTTCTTGAGAACAAAGGAGTAAAACCCGCGAATATCAAAAGACTTCAAGTACAGGACAGTGATGAGACGCTCAGCCGCAATAAGACATTTGAATGGTGTAAACGTTTCAAAGATGGCTGTACGTCTGTCAGTGGCGATCCCGGCAGTGGTGGTTCTCAGCCCACAACAATCATTCCTGTGAACAATCAGCATGTGCAACGCCTGATCCTGGATAATCGACGCATAACCTGTCGTGAAATTACACAAGAGACAAATCTTTCTGTGGGAACGGTGAACAAAACGATGAAGAAGTGATGTAGGCTGTCCTAGGATGGTTTAGGCATACTGACAAATGCCATAGCTTATGCTAGCATAAGTTTATAAATGTAGCAGGGGAGCATGTCGAAAAATAAATGCGGTTTCCATTCCTTCAATTGTGGTCTTTTATTCTATAAACTAAAAAGTCCCGGTTAGACTTGAACACCCCTTGTACAATAAATGTACATCTCTGTTGTGACTTTAAAGCTTTTTAATTGTTAGTGTTTTCCTAATTGATTATATGTATGCCAGAGGGTTAATGATTTTGTATAATTAAAGAGAATGGGGCTTAAAACGATATTAAACTCTAAAACAAACATTTATTATATTGCAGCTTACCGATTCTTTGATATGGTGGCTGCATTATTTTTATCTTTATATTGCCTTTGCAATTTTATTTTCCTTTTGTGTTTGCGGTCCATCTAAAGTGCCACTTAAAGGGTGTATGCTGACAGGGGTGCTTACAATGCTCAGCTTTTATTCATTTATGTAAACCCTTATCCCAAAATATATATATATATATATTGCTGCAAGTGCCTAACAAAAAAAAAGCATTAGCTGCAATTCATTTTTAATTTGTTAGTCAGATTTCTCCATCCAGAGTGGAGACACACTGAGACAGGAAGTAAAAATAAAGGGGGGGGAGCCTAAAAAAGCAAAGTAATGCAGCCACCACGTTTTAAGGGATAGGTAAGCTAGAGTACATTCATTTTTTAGTTTTAGGGCTTAATACTACCTTATCTTTTCTAAGTGAACATGCTCTCCTTCTTCTGATCTGTATTGTGGCTTTTTCTTTGTTCTCTATATTGAAAGTTCCTTGGAAAGGAAGGTTATAGGATGTTCTAGTATCTGGTGAACATTATCTGACTTACTATATGTAATTGAGCCTAATTTAAATGGAGAAATCTACTTGCAGTACCCTAAATAACACTCAAATATTAAATCGGCTATGATGTAGCCCAAAATGACCAAAGAATGTCGGCAGACAGAAATATATTAGACAGATCTTGATTCTCGAAAATAATACCTGCTTGGCCTGACGTATATCTTTACTCCCAAAAAAAAAAAAAACTACTTAGCCTGCCCCTTGAGTAGATGGGCAAAAGTAGTAAAACATTACACTTGCTGTTCTATGGGCATCTTATTGGAAGAAACCCCCTACTCTAACAAAAAAATTTGCTAATGTAATAAAAGAAAAAAAAAAACTAGAAATAAACGATCAGATCTTACACAGATTATACAGTGTTATAGTTCAAACATGTTTGGATAATTTTGTTCTACTGTTTTGCAAAATTACCCTATGGCAGGCATTAAGTCAAAGGTATGTTATAGTGAGAAGAGGAAAAGTAATCGGTTTGAAAGATGGAGTATGAGAACAAGCAAAAAAGCCATATCCAGCTTTCTTGGACCCATATTTTTTGTAAGCTCATAAGAAAATGAAAAGCATTATAGAGAGCACAAATTCTGAATACATGGCAATATTGCAGTTAGTACATGGTCACATAATGTGTATCTAGTTTACACTGAACCAAAAAAGTATATTGTTTTAGGAGACAGGACTTTCTCAGTGCCAATAACAACTCTGCCGATTACATAAAAAAAAATTTGTGTATCAAAAGAAGATTTTATTATTACAAAAAAATGTTCTATTTAAAAACAACATGAAATCAGACATATTCACAAAGATTCCCATAGAACTGTAAGGCTATACCCATGCGTTTGGTACTCATTATTTATATATCAAAACACGTTTCTTCATATATCAGCACATGCTATTAGATTGATGCAGGAAGGACACATGGGAAGCAATTTCACAGTTGATGTGTGTCTACATCTTTCGCAGCATATAGCTGCTTCTTCAGGAACGATGGGAATCACAACATCTACAGAAAACACAAGACAATGTAATACATATATAATACATCAAGTAACCCTATCACTGGGCAAGGGTTTGAAGGACTTACCAGAGGTTAGAGATTGGACCAGTTTCTTATTGGACAGCAATATGAATTGCTAATGTTCCAAGAAATCAAAGAATACCAGATTATAAACAAACGATGCATAATTCCCAGAAAAATATGAGAGTTGATTTACCAAATGCAAATAGTCTGTGCACTGCAAGTGCAGTTGCTCTAGATTTGAGGGGAAGCTCTGAAATAAGAGGAAGCTGTTTTTGTATTTTACATGCATGTGATTGGGTATTCTTTGCAAAGTGAAGCTTTATCTCATTTACTGAGCTCTGGAGTAAGTGCACTTGCAGAGTGCAGTGTATGTGTAAATCAACCCCACTGTCCCCTTTATATACAGCAGTGGTTCTCAAGCTTCCTAATGCCGTGACCCTTTTATACAGTTCCTCATGTTGTGGTGACCCCCAACCATAAAATTGTTTACCCAGTAATTATAATTCATGAAGTGTTGTTTTTACCTCCAACACTGCTGCTTTCAGCACAGTAGCTGCTTTTAACAGAGTAGCTGCTTTCAACACAGCAGCTGCTTTCTACACAGTAGCTGCTCTTTACACATCAGAAATATGTGTTTTCCGATGGTCTTAGGCAACCCCTGTGAAAGGGTCGTTCGACCCCCAAAGGGGTCGGGACCCACAGGTTGAGAACTACTGATATACAGCTATATCCACTGCAAGTCATCCAAAGAGCATCCATACAGCATATATAGGATTGCACATCTATATCTTCATAGTAAATGCACACAGTAGCTTTATGTTTGGGAAGTATTTGTGCTCTTCTACATGAGAAAAGTGTAAAAACAATCTGATGAATGTGTGCAAAGCAGTGCTGCCATACTTTCCATTTTGATTTGTAGGAGACGAAGGATGAGCAGTGGAAAAGGGCGATGGACTACTTGAACTTTGTGAATGAACTGAATTACATGACACAGATAGTTATTATGCTGTATGAGGACCCAAACAAGGTAAATGGACATGTATGCTGAGCTTGTTAGTAGCTGAATGCAGATTGTATAGTGAATCACCATGGCTCATTGTAATTCTATGTAGGATCTATCATCAGAGGAGCGTTTCCATGTAGAATTGCACTTTAGTCCAGGTGCAAAAGGCTGCGAAGAGGATAAGAATTTGCCTTCAGGGTTTGGATACAGGCCAGCATCAAGAGAGGTTTGTTTTGAATTTAATCCTATCTCTGCTAATATAATTCCCTAAAATGAGTTCCATTGGCTTTGAAAAGCAGGATTTTGTTTTACCATGGAAAGCCAATTAAATCGCTAAATAAAGCCAGCTAAACATTTCCCAATTTTTTTTTTCAATGGCAGAGCAACCAATTCGCAGTTAGGAACTGTTGACAGTGCAGAATAGTGGAAGCTTTATTACTTAAAGTGTTACTAAACCCAGCACGGAACCCTGCGTTCACTACATCTGGTCTCCCACAGTACACAGAACATGGAAATGCAATTCTTGTAATAAATATAAACTTCTAAATGCCTTTTCTCAGCAGTATATAGCAGGCTTGTGACTTCTGTCAGTGTCCAAATGTGCACTGGTTAATCTTGTAGGAGGAGTTTTCATTCTGCTCTGACTGTTCTGTGAGGCTGCATGACCTCTGACCCTCTCTCTGGACAGTGCTGATTGGCCCTATGTTGATCACATGCAGCCTCCCAAAGAAAACAAACACACACTAGTAATACACACTAAACTGAGCATGTGCAGAAGGACTCCTGGAGCTCTGTACTATCAGCAGATGGATTGGGGACAGTAGGAGAAAGGAAGGATCAGAGAAGACAGGATCAAACAGCCTTTTTACACAGTGCGAAGGATTAACCCCTTAGGTTCCACAAGGAGTATAACAAGCATTCTTTCCTGCATATACAGACTGATTTTACTGTTGTGGGTTTAGTAACACTTTATAGGTAATGGGGTGTGTGTATATATGTGTGTGTATGTATGTATATATATATATATATATATATGTATATATATATATATATATATATATATATATATATATATATATATGATCTAAAAAGTCTACACACCCCTTTTTTAAAATGTCAGGTTTATGTGATGTAAACAAATTAGACAAATAAGTGATTTCAGAACTTTTTCCACCTTTTTAATGTGACCCATAAACTGTATAACCCAATTGAAATCTTTTAGGGGGAAAAGTAAACCTAAAAAATTAAAATAATGTGGTTGCATAAGTGTGCACACCCTCTTATAACTGGGGCTGTAGCTGTGTTCAGAATTAAACAATCACATGCAAAATCATGTTAAATAGGAGTCAGTACCACCTGCCATCATTTAAAGTGCCTCTGATTAACCCCAAATAAAGTTCAGCTGTTCTAGTAGGTCTTTCCTGATATTTTCTTAGTCGCATCCTACAGCAAAAGCCATGGTCCATGGAGAGCTTCCAAAGAATCAGAGGGATCTCATTGTTAAAAGGTATCAGTCAGGAGAAGCATACAAAAGAATTTCCAAGGCATTAGATATACCATGGAACACAGTGAAGACAGTCATCAAGTGGAGAAAATATGGCACAACAGTGACATTACCAAGAACTGGACGTCCCTCCAAAATTGATGAAAAAAACGAGAAGAAAACCGATCTGGGAGGCTGCCAAGAGGCCTAAAGCAACATTAAATTAGCTGCAGGAATATCTGGCAAGTATTGGATGTGTGGTACATGTGACAACAATCTCCTGTATTCTTCTTATGTCTGGGCTATGGGGTAGAGTGGCAAGACGAAAGCCTTTTTTTATGAAGAAAAAACATCCAAGCCTGGATAAATTTTGCAAAAACACATCTGAAGTCTCCCAAAAGCATGTGGGAAAATGTGTTCTGGTCTAACTTTTTGGCCATAATTCCAAAAGAGATGTTTGGTGCAAAAACAACACTGCACATCACCAGAAGAACACCATACCCACAGTGAAGCATGGTGGTGGACTCATACCCAAATAGACTTAAGTGCTGGATTCAAATCAAAAGGTGCTTCAACAAAGTATTAGTTTAAGGGTGTGCACACTTATGCATCTGTATTATTTTTTGTGTTTTATTTTTACTTCCCTGCACCTAAAAGATTTCAGTTTCTTGTTCAACTGATTGTACAGTTTATAGGTCACATTAATGGTGGAAAAAGTTCTGAAATGATTTATCCTTGTCTCATTTTTTTACATCACAGAAACCTGACATTTTAACGGGTGTGTACATTGTGTGTGTGTGTCACAATGGCTAAGTGGTTAGCACTTCTGCCTGGCAGTGCTAGGGGCATTGGGTTCGATTCCCAATCACGGCACCACCTGCCTGGAGTTTGCATGTTCTCCCTGTGCCTGCGTGGGTTTCCTCCAGGTACTCTGGTTTCCTCCCACACTCCTAAGACATGCTGGTAAGTTAATTGGATCCTGTCTAAATTGGCCCTAGTTGTGTATGTATGAATGTAAGTTAGGGACCTTAGATTGTACGCCTCTTGAGGGTTAGGGACTGATGTGAATGTACAATATATATGTAAAGTGTTGCGTAAATTGACTGCGCTATATAAGTACCTGAAAAAAATAAATATAAATAATATATAGATCTAAATCGGAGGTGATTTTAGGAATCTCTGGGGCTTTTAAAAACAAAAGAGAGGCTTTATGGCAACTTAAACGTGTAATATTTGTATCATTGCGCTATTTATCTCCTCCTCCCCCTCCCTGCCTGTCTCCAGCACCGCACCCAGGGACTAGCAGGGAGGAGAGAGACCTTGCAGTGTAATGAGCACCGTTCGGCTGCTACTCAGGAAAGGGTGTGTCAGGGCTTATACTTTATCCCTTTTGCTGCCAGAGCTGTTTTTGCATTTTTCGCTGCCAGAGCCGTTTTGCTTTTTTTGCACATGTTTAAAAAATCATTTTAGTCCTGAAGATTACATAAAACCCCCAAACATATATTTTCTGAAAGCAGAGACCCTAGAGAATAAAATAGTGGTAGTTCCAATTTTTTATGTCACATGATATTACTGCAAAATTTCAGTAAACAATTTAATGAATCAAAGTAAATTTTAGGGCACGAAAAAGCAATAAATTACCCTATTTTTTGTAAAATATAAAAGATGAGGTCGAATAAATTGATATCCAACTTGTCAAACCTTAAATTTGCGTGTGCTTGTTAAATGGCTACGAATTTCAGTACCCTATATTTTCTATACATTTAAAGCCCCTTATAGGGTGCCTCAATATTTTTTTGTGGGAGATAGTATGTGCTTGGGTGTAATTTTCATTTTTTACAATTAAAAAAAAAAAAACTTTTTTTTTTTTTTTACTTTTTTTTTTTTACAGGTTCTCTTTGACAGTTTCTCTTTGAGACATCCAAGGTCTAAAAGACCCTGGATGTCTCCCCTCTGCTCCACTGAATTTAATGCAGTGCACATTGCACTGCATTACATTCTTTCCCAGGGATAGCATTACAATCTCTCAACGAGGACCCGGAAGTGACATCATAACGTGACTTCTGGGTCAGCACAAGAAGGGGAGCAGACTTGTCCGCTCTTCTCCCTCCCCTCTAGCCGATGGTGAGTCAGGCCCGCATATGGGCAAGCGGAGCCTGGGAAACCTCACGGTGTGGGCACAAAGAGGCTGGCACTGTGTGGAAGCAGATGGCGGCAGTGCTGCCGCTGATTGCTTCCACCTGACAGGTGAGCCCTGCTGCGTGTGTGTGTACACTGCAAAGGTTTTAGGCAGACTGAAATGTAAAGAGAGAATGCTTTTCGAAAATATATTTTTCTTTTTTATCAATTTGATACATTTTTTTTATACATCTTGCTTGTCAACAGTGTTATTTTGTATTCATATAGTTACACTTTATATTACATTTGTTATTGCCCACACTTGAACCAAGATTTTTAGAATGTTTCTCCTGCAGCATACTGTTGTATATAAATATTTATTATAGATACTTGTATAGCTCCGCCAATTTATGCAGCACTTTACAAATATATCGTACATTCACACCAGTCCCTGCCCTCAAGGAGCGTACAATCTAAGGTAGGCCATAGACTGAGCAAATTCCATGGTTGCAGGAAAGAGATTTGCTTCATTTCTCTCCAGCAACACAGAAAGTGCTGACAGGGATCTCTCCCGCAGAGCCTTTGTGTTCTCCCGGAGGCGGAGCCGTCCCTGCCAGGTGAAGACAGTGATTATTGCTAGTAGCTATAATAGCTGCTAGTGATAATCGCATGTAAAATCCAGTAGGTTGGTTGTCTGAAAGTTGAACGATCACTTGGGTTCATTCATTCTGCCTTCACATTGATGGCTCGAATTCGAACGATCTATGGCCGGCTTAACTCACTTTCATACACACACATACTGGGGTCAATTTAGGCAGGAGGAGTGGGTGGAAACTGGAGGAAACTCACGCAGGCAGAGGGAGAACATGCAAACTCCAGGCAGGTAGTGCCATGGATGGGATTTGAACCAACTACCCTAGGCGAAAGTGCTAACCACTTAGTCACTGTGTTTTTTTACTTCTGATACTGAGTCCATAATACCATTATTAAAATGTAACGTTTTTTTGGGAAATACATCATGTGAGCATGCTCTGTATACATGAATACAATCACATACAAATTTTCACTTCTGTAAGCAGCTTTACATGCCACCTGCGGCTTTCCAGCTGTGGAAAAACTCCTATATTTTTATGTCGGACACTGCCGGTGCCTCCAAGCATCTGTGAATGAGGCCTAACATTGCTACACACATTGGATGGGTTTATGCAAGTACATTCTTTGATTTTACTTTTACAGTTCTCTTATTTTTCTTTTTTTTTTTTAAATAGAGTGAAAGCTCCAAGAAACACATCCACGGCAATGACAGTGATGAAGAGTCTGGCATGTGCAGAAGAGATGAGCCTGACAGATCCATGGTGATGTTTAAACCTATGGTGTCTGATCCTATTTACATACACAGGAAATCACCTTTACCGCGTTCCAGAAAGATAGGTTCAGTGGAGGTAAGTGCCCTCCTCTACTTGACAGTATGACTATCATTTTATCATGGCAGTCTGGGTAATCTTTTCTTCTTTATAAACTCCTCTTAAACATCATTTTGTCACGTCTTCCTTTAATGTGGCTTGTTATAGGATTATTCCTTTCTGTTTGATATCAGACATTTTGTTTATGAATTGAGACAAACCACTCTAGTCAGTAAGTTAATGGAACTGCCTTGCATATTACTCGAAGATGACAATTTGCACACTATCAGTAAATGTGCACATACAAATATGTAGACCATATAATGCACAGCACATTAAGAGGAAACACTCCTTTTTATATTATTGTTTCTGCACTTTATTGGTTTATGTAAAACTGTTGTGTGTCATTTAAGTCTTACTCAGAATTGTTTGTGGCCTGTTCCTAATTTGCCCATTAAACCCAATCAAAATGCTAACCTCGTATGTGTCAAAAGCAATCACCAAAACATTATATCCTGATCTTCTTTTGAGTCCGTGATTTATTTACTCTGTTCTTGGCACATGGCTACAAAGATCATTAATTTTTGTTCCATTATTTCTCTATAATCTCTTCCTAAATAATGCTTCTAATACATTTATAAGTCTGGTTTGTAGTATTAGCTATTTGCTTACTCTCATGCCACACATTAAAGGTTATTTTATGTTTTGTAGTCTAGAAACAAGATTTTTTTTTTTGTTTTTGTTTTTTTTGTTTTCCTGGTCATTTGGCTTTGTTTCTAACTTTGCATGCTTTGCTGTTTTTGCCCCTTTCTCACTTCTAGGAAGAGAGCCCCCTGAGTGTGTCTAGCCCAGAGTGTATCGGTACCTGGATGCATTACACCAGTGCTGTGGGTTCTGGGCGTCGAAGACGCAGATCAGGGGATAAAATCACTTCTTCCCCTGTGTCCCCTAAATCATTGGCTTTCACATCCAGTATATTTGGCTCATGGCAACAGGTTTTTAAACTTTACTTCACTAAACTTTTTTTTTCTCTTAAGCACAAAACAAATCAGCGATGGTATTAAAGGACATCTAATCACCTTTGCGTTTGTGTTCTCTCTGTTTAGTAATATATTCTATGTTAATCTGTGATTTAATTTTTTTTCATTCCTCCTCAGTGTAAAATTGTTAGCTTTGTACATATGTCAATTAGGAATCCAAATTACAGTAACTTACTGTATAACCAAATACATATATTTAAAAAACACCTTTGGCTTAGCTGTCCTTTAAGACTAATGTGGCATCAAGTAATCTGGCAATCTTTTAAAAATAGTTTGGCAAAAGTGATGCTGTGGGGGTCAAAATATATTTTCTTTATCCAAAGTGATCATGTGTTTAGTGCCTTGATATTAACTGTGTAAGGGGTGACAATCCATTACTAATCATACCTTCCTGACAAATTAGTACCTAATGTATGGACAGCTAACAACAGCGCTTCTTCCATAAATCTGCCATATTTACAAATAAGTCACATGCAAGCAAGCTATAGACTTGGCCCAGAGTGAACCATCACACAACAGTAAAAGCTTCTTAACAAGTGAAATTAATATTAAGTAAGCAAATCTGAAACTTAGAAATGGCTGTGATTACCAGACAACATTTCTCTTCGTGCTGGGTATGGGAGCTGTGACCATTCAGCTGGTTTAAAAAATGCAAGCTTGGAGCTGTCACATTTATCCTCCATTTTTTTTCTCAGTCATTGACCCACTGAAAATAATTGCATATCAGAGGTTCCAGTACTTCACTGGCTGAATCTTTGTTAGAAGACACTCAAATGTGAATCATCGGTTGGGGTGTTGGCCCACAGCTTGTACTTTCAAAAATAAATCAGCAAAGACAACTTCCATAGTGTCATGAAAGATTTCCTATGAAGTAAATATGGGGCGTGTCATTCTAACTTCTCAAAATGCTAGCTGCTTGGCTGTTCTTTAATATTTGAGTCACTTATCTGGAATAAGTATGCATGTTGAAAGTCAATGTAAAGTTGGAAGTCTACGTCTGCACCTTGTTCTGGGTCTATGATGCATGGTATTAAAGTAAGAGTGTCAGCATGACAATCAGCCTCTAGCTTAAGAAAATAGGAAGTCCGCAATGACACCTTTCATGTTTCTTTCAGAAATTTTATTTTTTAATGAGAATCTGTCAACCAAAAAGAAAAATGGGAAAAAAAAAAAAAAAACAGGCAGTCTGCTGCAGGTATTAAATGCATGCACTTAGACATACCTGCAGCAGGCTCTGATACCCTGCCTTTATGTCAGAAACTCATGTCATTCTGACATACTAAACTTTGATGCTTTCTAATGGTGCTGACGTTTTCCTGCCTCCTGCAAATTCCTTTTAGATAGCAAGGCAGCCCACCATAGTGACTGGTCTATAGGAATGTGCAGGAGTGTTGGATAGCAGCAAGCTCATGGAAGAGCTGGGACCATGTTTGTCAGAATGGCCAGGGATAATACAGGCCGCTGTAGGTATGAGCAAGAACTTGTTTGTGTCTACACTTTATACCTACAGCAATCTTTCCCAATGACATGTTCTCTTGCAGTAAGCTATCATAAGATATAGTAATAGAAATGATTTTTTTCGCAGGCTTTCCCATCTTCAGTGCTGTCCTGGAAAGTTCTGCAATCAGGCTGTCATTTTCATATTATTGTAAAGGTTTTAAAATCGAAGCGCACATAGTGAGCTTTTGCTGATCTTGGCGGCTCATCCTACAATTGTGCACTCTTGAGTCGGTCCATACCTTGCCGTTAGGTGTCATACTGTTCACTTTCTAAATTATGTAGAATAATGGTTGAAAGCCAGCTTTGAATTCTTCATTTCAGCGATATAGCAGCTGATTCATTTAAAAGTTGGCCTTTGTGCTGTTTCAAATTTTGCAATAGCATTAAAAGTTCTGGTCAGTGGCTCTAAGTAATGATTCAATATGGCCCATGCCAGAACTTTCGTTTGGTCAACAGGTTGCATTCAATTACTATTTTGATATTTGTCCTGCTAGATATGGACTTCTGGCCCTTGCTCTTAAAGTATATGTAAACCCTCACCTTGTAAAACAACCCATTCTGTTTAAACTAGAAATGAAAGTCAAAACATTTGTGCATAGATATAAAAAAATATAAATAACTTTTTCCCAGTTTTATTTAAGTGATCACATATCCTCTATGCTCCTCATGCAGCTGAGAACAGAGAACTGGGGGAGGAGAAACAGCAGAACACTGAACTTCCCAGTGAAAGGCTGGGAGGTGGAGGGGCAGCTGTGTTAGCAGGCTGATCATTGGAGGAGAGCACATTGAGTTCCCAGCACAGCTAGAGAACTGACCACACTTTGTTCTCATACCTAGTGTAGTCAGTTTTAATAGGAAAGCAGAGCGACTGGCAGGAAGCAATACAAAGAGAACAGGATATTTTCTCATACAAGTAAATGGTACAGAAGGCACATATCAGGAATAGGAAATGTTGGGTTTACATACTCTTTAAGCATTTCACAGATAATGGAAGAGGTTCTGCTTCACATTCCCTTTTTTGCTAAGGGTTTCTCTGTCTGTCTGCCTGTACAGCTGAGGCTCTTTCAGGAAAAAGGGTATGACTTTTACATTGGGTACAAACTGCAAGCTGTCCTCCACTTTCTTTATAGGGCTCATGCATGGACTATAGTGACTTTGTGTTTTGACATTTTTAAACTGCTTGTTTCAAGCTTTTTCTGTGCACTTTCTTCCAAACAGGATGTCTTGTTATACAAATGTGCACATGGGTTTGCAGAAATGAACGCTCTTCAGTTACTGGCTTTTTCCTTTGTTTCTATGTAATTGATGTGCCCATTACGGTTTTGAATGCTTGCTTTGCACCAACCCATTGCCACGGGTCTCATCTGTGAAGTGGATTCTTGTCAGAAGGCAATATTGCATGACAATGTTTTCTGTTTCTTCTCCACTAACTTGTGTCATGCATCAGTATTAACATTACCTGTCTGAGACGGGGTTACCTATATCAGCATTACAATTTTAGTACTTACCCGTTGTACATCTCACAGTGAAATCTTTCCTTCCAGGTGCTATCAGATAACAATAGCCATCTAAGAGCAGCCAGAATATTGGAGCAGAAGCACAGTGGCTTAGGTAAGTATATTTCCTGTTCATTTTTTTTTTTTTTTAAATTAAGTTTATTGAAACACATTGGGCAGTGCTAACAAGCTAATGAAATGCTGGCAGCTTTTTAACCTCTGCTACTTGACATAAACGTGCATCCAAGCATGGTGGCATTGAGCAGCACTTAACATCTAATGTTATTTTGCTGTGTATTGGATGAAAGCACAATTTTAATCTTGCTCTGACTTAAATTTAGGTCTGCACAAGACCAAATTCCCACCAATCCCTAGAATTACTATGTTCAGTCATTTTCACAACTTTGTGTAACAATTTGCATTAAAATTCTTTTAATCATTTTTTTAATCATTTCCCAGAAAATCTGCTATACACAAATATGCTTTGTAAGTAGTACATTGCTGAAGTACTTTACAGTGGCTAAGTCATTATTAGGTTTAAGAGCCCAGGGTCTGTTCTGTGCCTTCTCCTTGCAGTGCTTTCACTGCAAATGCAGCCTAAACTGCATCTATTTTTTGTGAAAACATATTGACTCTGTATGCATTTGGTATCTGGAAGTTACATCCTAAAATCTGGTGTGGTCTGTATTCCTGTCCTTAGGATTTCTGTACAAATTGTACAGTTCCAACTGAAGCATAGATGAAAGCAGACAGGGCTGTGAACACGGTTAGGTGACCACACTGCTGACAATTTACTAGTGAACCCTACCTGATAATAACTGTGAAAACAGCAGTAGACAAAAGAATTGGCGCCCTCAGTTCTTGACTTGCAGCTTTAACTCAAAAGTACAAATATGATGTCCCAGAAAATGTTCTATGTCATGATTAGCATATCATGGCAATCTTCAGTGTTATGCCCAAACGTTTTATTATCTTAAGATCGGACATATACCTGTTGGTTTATCTGTATCTGCTTATTGTCACTTGTATACTGTTTGAATGTCACCTAGAACTTGTGACACCATGGCATAGAACTTGTGTTCTGTGCCATTGTATTTTTAGAAGAGTCTTACTGCTTAGTATTATTATTATCAGTTAAGCCTTTTTATAACATCTCTGTGAAGGTTCTCATTTATTCAGGTCATGGTATAGCAATGGTGAAGAAATGTTGCGACTCTCCTAGGTAGCTTCTTCAGTTCTGAGTGTTCGGAACATATACCCCAACATTTATAGCTACATGGTTCACCTTACTCCAATTACCATTGTGTTTAGAATTATGTCAAAGCATATGCTTTTGTGAAACAAACTTTTTCTATTCCCATAATGCCATCACCATGATGCTGTGTAGTCTGGGGCAGATGTTAATTGTTTGAGCTATATCGCTGAAGCTATGATCTGCTACCAGAATGCCAGGGTGAAGATGTTTTATATTCATAGCTTTATATGTGAGTGACAGCTGTTGTCTCTGCCCCCTACCTCTGTTTAGGGATCGTTGTTCCAGACTGATGTATTTATCTATTTCACCCCTCTTGTAAATCTCTTGTCCTCTCTTTCCAAAATGTGCACCTCACTGTCCTCAAAATAATGACCCTTTACCATCTGAAGGAAGTGATGCTATCATTCCCTCACCATATGTTTTCTGTAAGAACTTCTTTGCCAGGAATCGGTTGTCTAATAGGGCAGTTCTATTCCCCCCCAAAGCCTCCTCGTTGAAACAAGCGAGTCAAAAGGACTGCTCCAGCGTATTTTATTTACAGACTATTCATAGAAAGACTTAATTATAATAAATTAGCACATTTATGAAATGATTTACACTTCAACCTCTTTCACATATACAGTTATGTCTAAGAAAGATTTAAAAGGCTGGAGTTCCCCTTTAACAGTAAATATATAAATATGTATGTGTACATTTCCATTGCTTCCAATGACCTTTCCTAAACCAATCAGAACTCACTTTGCAGATGCAAAAATACAAATCCCAGGCAGTTTACCAGCATTGCCCCAATGACTGGTTGAACGGGCTTTGTGTTTATAGAGATTAGTGGTGCCATTAAAAAAGATGCAATTCATCTGTTTTGTGTTTCCATGAATAGCAGGTGAATAAAAATAACTTGGCAGGCCATATGTCATGCAATCTAATTAGTAATGTAGATATTGATGTAAATCTTGTGATATGTATATCATTTCCTGTGTGAGTTGTTTCTTCTCTGCTATGGTCCTTGTGTATAATTCTGTGCCACCTTCTGCTTTCCTGTTATTTACATCTTTCATGGCAATCCCCTTTTCCTGTGTACTTATACATATTCCCTGTTTTATACATCTTGGCATTGGATCCCGTATTAGATTTTTGCTGTAATTTGTCAGACATTGACTATAGGCAAAATGTTTATTATTATTATACAGTATTTATAAAGCGCCAATAGTTCACTCAGCGCTGTGTGTTTAGTGGATTAGTTTCTGTTAAACAGATTTAAAACATTAGGACAACCTTATCCTGAAAGAAAAAGAACAAGATAATTGCATGCAATGTAGGTAACCATGTTTTAAGCTTAAAAATAAAATATCTGCCAGTGGGGCAGGAGGCCGTTGGTTCTAATCTAACATTGGTTCTTCACTGTGTTTTAAAGGATAAGTTCAACTTTGGGAACATATTACATGTTCCCCCCCCCCCTTTCTTTGGGTGGAACATGTAACGTTTCTACTGCTGCAGCCTTCGCCCGGTTCCCCCCTCCTCCTCCCTGTGATAGCAGTATGGGGAGAAGTTCCCTGTAGAAGCCGTCACCTTTATAATAGAGCGCGGCCACATGGCTGTCAGCTTGTAGTTCTCAGTGAACTACCACAGCGCTGTGAGCACCGTAGTAGTTCATAGATTTTTCCTGTCAGTACATCTGCTTGCCTGTACATCCCATATGGGCAAGCAGATATACGGACAGATCTGCAGGAGACCTGCCTGGCACCAGTGATCTGTTGATCGCTGGTGCACTGGTTTACATGCTACTTCAACCAAAAATAATTAATGCACATTTTTTTTTTTACCTGCAAAAAATGTGCATTTAATATATTGATCAAAAGGTGAACTTGTCCTTTAAATAGATATGGGCCCCCAATTTCTTCCCTCTCATAATTATATAGCTTATATCACCACTGCCTCCCCTAGTTTATAGCAAAAATTCATTTTTTTTTCCTTTGCTGTATCTGCTATCATGTCAGAAAACATTCTCCTTTAGTTCTCAGAAGAAATGTAAGTATTGATTGAATGCTTGCACTATAATATACTTATAGGTGGATTGTGGAACACCTTTAATACAGAGTAGCACTTCTTAGATTTTAATTTAGCCGACAAAATTTATGATTTCATTTGTTTCCTTCTGACTATGTGAACCTGTTCTGTGCAGTCAGTGTTAAGATACCTTTTTTTATTCCAATATATCGCTCTAATTTAATAATTTACTACTTGCCATTTGTGGCAGTGTTTTCCTTATTTTAATGTTGTGCGAGTAAATGGCAACACGTGGAGCAAATATATATTATGTGAGTGTGAGTTTACTAAACTGCTATTGGGAGTTTATTTTAAATATTACTTTTTCATCTGATGTTTTGTATTTATGTAAAATCCTTGCATTACATATAAATATTTAACATCCATGACTGCTTTCAGTGGCAGAGTTCTGTGGATAGGAAAACTACAACTTTGTGGTTGACGGTTTGTAGTTTTCAATGAACTACCACAGCGCTGGTGAGTGATCTGGTAGTTCATTGAAGGTTCCTGTCAGTGTGTAGCTTCTTGCATGTACAAGGTATGAGCAGAAAGCTTACACTAACAGGAGCCATGCATTGCACCCGTGTTCGCTGAACTTTCCTTTAAAGTGGGGAATGAATAGTTAAAAATCTTTCAGCAAGTCAAAGATCTACCCGTGATTGTAACAAGGATTATAAATCTAGAAAACTCTAATATTATTCCTCCTCTTATCTCCTTTACCTTCCTAGCATAAAGAATAAATTCCATCTACCAGAGGCCTTTTCTTTTGATTACCCTCATTTTCTATTATGGGCTTTAGTTTGGAGCAAAGCCAACAAAGAATCCTATTCTTGTGTGCCATACTCATGTCCATAATAGTGCTGGGAGTTTGTAAATGTTCTGTTTTTGTGTGTGTTTCTGCTTGCACTGAGACGTGGTGGAAAGGCTGATGCTTCCTTTGGGTAGCCAAGGCAATATCTTGAGTCACCATCCTTAAGGATTTCTGGAAAGAATGGCCAGATTAGATTATTTTCAAAAAGGAAAGTCAAAAAATAATTGGTCTACATCAAGAATGAAAATAACAAAAGATAACATTGTATCCAGGTGATATGTGCTTGTTTAGCTGGGGAGTGTAGAGATTGATATAAACTGCATCACCCTCTCTAGAGAGATATAAGATCTTCACTATCCATAAATTGGAAACTTCTGATAGTTGCCTGCGTTTACAGCAATTATTTCTGTTTTAGGTAAGTGACTGTACTGGCCTTTATAGTTTCACCAATTCATTTAATACTAATGTCATTTTCAGTGATTTACTTTTCTATATCTTGGATCTATACATATTCAGTTGCTCTTCCTGAACCTATACCTTATACAAGTATTTCTCACCTTAGGTATAATATAGCATCAGATGTTTCAGTAGCATCCTTTACTGTTCATCAATATACTTTAAGTATATATGTTTTTAAATATAAAAACATTTATTCAAACATTTATGTTTGGAGTTTTATTTAAAGCTGAACTCCAGGAATTCAGTCACTTTAAAAATGTACAGGCACACTATGAGTTAAGTTCGACAATGTGCATGCCCACCCACCTGAACTTATCTCTTTAATTTATATCTGTCAGTTTTATGGTGCTCCTGGAGGATGCACAAAATACAAAGGCTTCTGTGAATGGGCAACAGAGAGGGGAGGGTTGGGCACATCAGCTGCTGAAATAGCTGAGGTCTAACATTGGAACTCCAGAACTATAGCGATCGCTATCATTCTGAAGCTCCATAAAAGTGTCAGATGTAAATTAAAGAACCAAGTCTAGGATGTGGCATGCTCTTATTA